GTGGGATGGCAGCAGAGTGGCCATGGGGAAGATTCTTGGCGGCGGTGGGATGTAACTGTACGTAGAGATGTCGTCTGGTCGTTCGGGTGATGGATGGATCTGCGATGTGGATGCTGCGGGATGCGGCGAATGTTGGGTTTCCTTTACGAATTTGATTCTGGTGCTTGTGAGCGTGTTGTATCACGCTCACCATGAGCTAGCTGTTCACGATATCCAACGAACGCAACCTTATCACCGTATGAGAAAACCCAAACTTATTTACGACACATTATATTCCAAGACACCTCACTCTAATTACAGCATATCACAGCCATCTACAGATTACAAATCACCCCAATCCTCCCTAATAAGATCCGCCCCCTTCTCGCCAACCATGTACACGCTCGCCACAATATTAACATCCGGCAGGATCGGGATGATGGAGCAGTCCACCACACGTAGCCCGTCGACGCCGTACACGCGCAGCCGCGGGTCGACGACGCCGCCGTCAGCCTCGGGCAGCATCTGGTTCGTCCCCGAGGCGTGCCAGTTGGGGATCGTGTTCTGGCGGACGTAGGCGAGCACGGCGTCCTCGTCGTCCTCGGCGACGGCGGTCGCGCCGGGGGAGACCTCGCCGTGGTCGGGCCCGACGGTGAAAGCGGACATGCGCGGGTGGGCGAGGATCTTGCGGAGGTATTTGAAGGAGGCGAGGGCGATTTTGCGGTCTGTTTCGTGGGCGTAGTACTATTGGGAAAGTTAGCTTTGTGTTCACGGAAGATGGGGAGGGAAAGAGACGCACGTTGGGGTTGATGAGGGGGAACTCGGCCATGGAGTTTGAGCGCAGCGTGACGTTCCCGCGGGACAGGGCGACCATGCTCGACGCAGTCAAACTGATGTACGTCTCGTTGGATTTGGGGGTGTAGTACGGCGTCGGGCCGGAGGGGTAGAAGACGCTTTCGAAGAGGTATTCGATGTGGGACTGGTTGCCGAGCCCTGCGGCGAGGATGGACTCGGCGCCGATGGCGCGCAGCTCGGCGGCGGAGAGACGCTGAAAGGCGTTGGTGATGCCCGAGGGCGCGGTGTACTCGCCGGTGAGGTTGGCGGCGAACTGGTCCTGGGCGGCGCGCAGGGAGGCGAAGGTGGCGGCCATGTCGGTGGTGGAGAACTCGGGCGTGGAGAGGGCCATGATGGAGAAGACGGAGTGGTCGTTGAGGTGCTGGCCGACGTTCTCGTTGATGTGGACGGGCGTGATGCCGAATTTGGAGAGCTGGGCGGAGGGGCCGATGCCCTTGCGTTTTGTGTCAGTGACGGTGATGATAAGAAGGGGAAGGGGAGTGGCTTACGGAGACCATGAGGAGTTGAGGCGAGTTGAAGGCGCCTGCGCTCACGATGACTTCCTTCTTTGCGGAAACCTCGTAGACGATGCCGGTGGGGTGGTCCATGAACGCGACCCCCGTGGCTTTGGGTTTCGCTCCCGTGGTGTCGAAGTTGATCTTCCACACGGGGGCGAAGTACAGCACGTCGAGGTTCTTGCGGCCGATGGCCTGCTTCAGGTACGAGTCGTAGCTCGAACTGCGGTGGAACTTGCTGTCCAGGTGTCCCGTCCCCTGCTTCACGCCGGTGCTGTTCCCCGTGTTGTAGTCCTTCACAATCGGGATCTGCAGCGCCTCCGCCGCGGCCTCGATGAAGCCCACCCCCGACGGCGGGACGTACCCCTGGAAGCCGAGCTGCAGCGGGCCGTCCGCGTACGCGGCAGGGTCCCAGGTCTTGTAGCTCACGTCGAACCCCTTGGCGGCGTGGTCGTCGGGCGGGTTGAAGGAGGTGCCGCGGACAAAGAGCGGGTAGACGTCAGCCCAGCCCCAGCCGGGGTTGCCGACGCGGACCCAGTCGTCGTAGACGGAGGCGCTGCCGCGGCCGTAGTAGAAGCCGTTGGTGACGGAGGAGCCGCCGAGGCAGCGGCCGCGGTGGTAGCGCAGGATGCGGCCATCGAGGTGCTCCTGGGGCGTGGTGTAGAAGGACCAGTCGATGGCGGTGCCGCCGAGGAACTGGTTGCCGCCGGGGGCCTTGTAGGCGGAGACGACGTCCGGGTACGGCCCCGCTTCGAGGACGAGGACCCGGTTTTTGCCGGATTCGCTCAGCCGGTTGGCGAGCACGAGGCCGGCGGTGCCGCCTGGGGGTTGGGGGTTGCAGGTTAGCGTTTAGCCTTTTATATGGTTCGATTCCTATATGTTGTTGTATGCTGTCCCTTTTGGGTTTCTTGGTAATTCTTGAGATGGGGGACGGGGATGGGATGAGGGACAGGTAAGGTGCGAGAGCGAGAGCGACGGGGCGATGTCACGTACCTCCTGCGAGGATGAAGTCGTACTCATCCTCGATTGTTTCGCGGTCGATGCCTTTAAGCGGTGCTGCAGAGGTGTATGCGACGAGCAGCGCGAGTGCGCTCTGCAGCGTGACTTGGTACTTCATCGTCGTGAGTCCTGCGCGATGGACTGGGCGCAACCTATGAAGCTGGGAGGCCGGCGAAAGAACGAAGGAAGTCAGGGAGAAGCAATTGATCTGTCGACTGACAAGTCTCGGTGACCCTCTTCTTGGATCTCAGGAACAGGAAAAGGGGGGCTTCAACGGAAGATATACTCCTGGCCATCATCATCACCACCACCATCACCCACAATCTCTAAACCGTTGAGACCTCATTCTTGGTTGGATGACTGTTCTCCAAGACAAGAAAGCCTGAATGAACGCCTTTCCAGTTTGCGCAATGGCCTGCGTCATCGTACTTTTGCGCGTCAGCCCCGGGCGAAAGCGAGGCGTGCCGTCGGCGTGCTTGGCGAAAGGACGAAATGTGTTGTTGTTTTGGTCTCGGCGCATTCAATAGCTGGAAGGAAAATCTGGGGGAGCAGGGATTTGGAGGAGAGTTGGAGCAGGTGTCAGGCTTGATAGCTGCGGCGGCATCTGGGGAACCTTTGAGTGTTAATTGACATGCTTTCAATTCTGCATGCTACTAACATCTTTCGGGTAGATGAGATGTCAGCTTGACAGAAGCTGACATCTCCAAGAGGCAGAATTGAGAGCTCTCGCAGCTCAGCAAGAACCGAAACCCATCTTTCTGCAGATCATGTGGCACCAGCGGGGGAGAATTGTGGCACAGCAGCCTCTAGCAGAACACAATTGAGACAGGCTACACTCAACCAGCTGCCTACATTGTGCGCAGGATTGAAAACGACGTATGTCAAGACATTCCGCCGACTGGGATTCCCGTCTAGCGCCGCGTCCGCGTGCCGTTGCTCCCGCGGTTGGTAGTTAGGTGCCCCGTCCCGCGAAAAAAGGTTCGGTCGGACAGTATCGAAAGTTCAGCAAAAGCAAGCCACCTATAATAAGTAGCTTAAATTAAGGTCTCTTGTCGTCCAAATGCCGGGAAGAATGACTTGCTGCTTCCCTTCTTGGCAGTTTGCTGATGGAAATTGTCCTTCCTGGTCCCAGGGCGGTAAGATGCGGGACTTGGCTGGAGAGAGCCAAGATGCGTGCTGGAAGGATAAAGGGCCGATGCGAAGCTCCCAGCTTTTGCCCGGCGTGTTGTGTACGACCTGCATTGTGCTTTTCCCCGCAGGAACCCCAAGCCGCTGCCGAGCCCATAGAGGATCGGTGTGAGATTAGGGTGTCACGGGAGCGGTGATCAGGAACATGCCCACTGTGAAGAGCCATCTTCCCGGTTCAATGCCGCGCCTCTTTGCAAAGTAGGCTGACTGAAGGCAAATGGTATTTGTGTTTAACCTTGTTTTCTAGGGGTTGCGACCGTATTTCTCGTGTTCCTCTTAGATCGAACAGGTCTCTACCGAGCTGGCCGCGGGGGGTACGTAGAGGATCGCGTTGGCGGCTTGGCCATGCGGGCTGCGGCGCCTCGTTGATCGGCATCTATTCCGCCTTTGGCAACTTGAAGTCGCCTGCTCGATGTGATGGTGAGCTTGCTGTCTCACCTAATCCTGCTCTTGTGCAGATGGAAAGCTTGGAAATAGTGAGACTTGGGAGTAATGGAAGCGCTTGACTGTTGTTGCCTGCGTAGAGTCAGGCGATTGGAGGAAAGGACAATACCAAGCGACGGCAGAAGATCAATAGTATGGTAAGTATGTGATATCAGGCGCAGTGTCAGATTGATGGAGCGTTATGCTCCGATGCTGGCAATATCTGCCTTGCCATGTGCCCAGATGTCGCGTAGCTCGCCATAGTCTATCTCAGGGAACTTAGAAAAAAGTCCGTAGGGCTTTCTCGGGGGCTTTACTACTCAGAATGATGCGTGAAAATCGCTTGGGATTTTCCCAAGCTCTTATTGTATTGGCCGAAAAGAATTTTAACGACTTTGTTGCTAGAAGCCGTGAAAACAAAAAATTGTGTGACGTTCGGACATGACGCCGCTCATGATTTTGACTCTCGTGTACTGAGCCAGCCATAGACCGATGGTAAAGTCCAAAAGAGACCGTAAAGAGTGTCTGGAGCCATCTTCCCTCCCAGGGCTTTCCTCCTCCTTCTGCAACCGACCCGTTCATAGACGCCCCATCAATCCATTCCCTCTAAACATATTCTTCTCCATCCAACAAGAACCCCAGCTTCTAGAAACTTCCCTGCTAGCGAAGTTCTGCGTGACTGAGAATTAGAGAGCAGAGGCTCCTTGAGATAACTTTTCAAATCATACCTTGTCGTCCTTTGGTTGTCTCTGTGCCCTATCTGGTCACATAACCTGAAGATCCAATCGAATTAGGTCTTCTCTTTCAATATGGCGGGTGTCGTCCACTGTCCTGTAGACACGAGCCTCCACGGAAGACCTCAATTATCGCAGAGCTGGGCGGTCGAAGCCCCGCCCAGTCTACGAAATTGCTCCTTCCGACATGCCCCTCGCGTCCCTCGGACAGGTGCATTTGGAGTTCCGAGAGAAAGTCCCCATTAGGAGCCGAAAGAGCAGCACTTGACTCCATCATCCAGGTTCAAACGACCCCTGGCGGAAGATCTGATCTCAGCGGCTAGCGAGGTCAGATAATCAGCAGGGCGTCGCCAACCAAGTCAGTAGAGTAGCAAGGCTGTTTCCCCCGGCTCCGTATATGGACCTCCTCCCGAGACTTTGGACGCACCCAGGCGAGGGACTCCGGGGGCAGACCGAGTAGAGCACACTATCAAGGGTCATCTTGATCACATATTTGGTATGGGGTATGAAGGGGGTTTGTAACGTTACCAGAAGATCAATGATGCCCAAGTGCTCAATCACCTCCTCGGCAGCGTCGAGCCCGCCGTCCTTGAAGACTGCGCCGACTACTGCCTCCAGGGTGTCAGCTTTGGTGCGTTGGGACACCATCCCCTGCTGGGAAGGATTTCTGACGATGCACCGGGTCAACCCGACAGTGTCGCAAAGCCTAGCTAGACGCTCGTTATTCGCGCACATCTGGATCCGGGCGTTGGTGTTGCCTGTTTCGGCAGTCAGAATGGGCCTGAGGCCTTTCTTCCTAGACTTGCATAATGGCTTCTTTGAGAAAATACCGATGCTAATGTTATCTTCAACGGACATCGTGACAATGACCACCGAGATAATTCTGTCGCCGAGTCCCGCGAGTTGCTTGTTGCCCTCGCGCAAATTTCGGGTGCCCACTCTCGTCACCGGAGATCCTGCGGCCTGGAGAGCTTCCCAGAGCCATCGAGGGTTTTTGAAGTCGTACCCGAGGATCTCCTCGGCATCAGACATCCTCTTGTCGGCTTGGAGAGAGTTCATTGTTGTTAGAGGGCGGTGGTGAGTATTCAGAGCAAAGTATGGACAGCTTGTCAGTTCAAGTATATGAGATTTACCAGACTGTTTGAGAACTTCCGGGGGTTTGAGGGGTTTTATTCTACCACTCGTACCCCTCTCCAATAATCGTCATATTCCAGCCACCAAAATGACCACTGACCGTACAATGGACGTTTTCTTTTCTTTTTCTAAGACCTGCATAGCTAGCCAGCCACAAGAAAAATGGTCTATGCCACTTTCTACTGAACCATGTCTTCTGAAGGATATGAACACAGAATGATAGTCAAATTACATGCGCAGACTGGCGCGACAGTTAGAAAAAGCCTAGGACCTTTCTTTCTGAAAGGTGATAGTTTAGGGGGGGAGCCCTGGTAACATAGATAGGGTTAGGAGGAATGCCAAGATTCAGTCATGGCCACGTTTTGAAGTAGGGTAGGAGATGATCTTCATTTGTTATGTGAATTTCAATGGAAGCCTGACGCGACGCTCTCATGTTGAAGAAGCTTCGAGCCCACCCAGTAGGGGTTTTCACATTAGGGGAACAGTAAAAGCACCTCGGTAAGTGCCCAATTCAGTAGCTTCGCAGTATACGCACCCGGAATGACTGCCCGCGCTGACCCCAACTCGCCCATTGTGGCTGTCAGCCTCGTTGACGATGGCTTCGTTGCCAGCAAGGTCAACAGCCTCGCCCGCGTGACTCACGCAGAGATGGCTTCACACGCGACGCTCTTATCATTGGCCCAACTTGATGGAAGTGAGAGTTTTTCCCAGACATTAAGTAAAGCGCTATTGCCTTCCAAAATGGGATGCTTAGTATCTGGACGCAGGCTCTGACTCACACTATGCCGGAGTTAATGTTTAATGTTTACTAATCAAACAGGATTACAGTCCGAATCTCGGAGTCCGCCTCGTGGGCGGAGTCCTAATGTGTCCGTTGCTTTATTCAATAGATGTCGGCTGTAAAAGGATTCAGTTGAACAAGATTTCAACAATGGAACACTGGCACTCTCAATCATACAATCTCTTCTATCAATAATCAATATGACTGTTCACCATGTCAGTCTTGCAGCTGGACGATCTAGTTTCCAGGCCATGCGGTCGTTTTACATCAAGGCTCTTGCCCCTTTAGGGTACGCGGTGTCCTACGAAGACAGCAATCTCGTTGGGTTCACGGGGAGTGATGGTGTGTCTGACTTCGGCATTCACGCTATTACAGAAGTCTCTCCAGGGTCCAATGAGGCATCCAGTAGAACGCACATAGCGTTTCAGGGAAACAGCGCTGAGATGATCAACAAATGGTACCAGGCAGCCATGTAAGCTCACAAATCAAGGAAGACCTATTCGGCGCTGTAGAGTAATGCGACTAACTTTGGGAAGACAGGCTGGCGGTGTATGCAACGGAAAACCTGGAGAACGCACTGATTATGGAAAAGAATATTATGCTGCATTCATTCTCGACCCTCTAGGGAACAACATAGAGGCTGTACATTGGAATGCGTCATGAGCGTGAAGGATTAGTCCCGCCAGATTCCGCGGCTGGAGAATGCACGGTCTGTCATCCGAGGGACAACCCTCGCTAGACCTACAAGGGAGCAAAATGATGCTGATGACCAGCGCTTCCGCAAGTGCAATCAAGTCAATTTTGCCCCCTATACTTGTCAACTTGGTGATCTTTTTCCTAGACTTTGATTATTGGCTAACTTGCAAGTTAGTCAAGTCAATTCCTATAGCCCCCTACCCTACCTAATATGCCCTCACATATGCCCTCACGTATGCCCTCATATACCCTCATATACCCTTATATACCTATATAAGTGGGGCAATAGCTAATCTATAGCCTTCTATTAGTTAGCTATTTATACATAAGACATCAAGGCTAATAATTCAATCGAGGGGTGTGAAATTGCTTACTTGGGTAGTGGCGATGGCGTCAACTTGGCCGATTGGCTTGTATTACTTGCCAAGTGACTTGCACTTGCGGCAGCGCTGCTGATGACCCGGCGTTTGGTACTATGAAACGGAGACCTGGCACAACAGGCGCTTCGGCTTTTGCTCGGTATATCAAAATACTTCTAGTCGCCCATAGCTGGTTGTAAATAGGCCTTGCATCTACCTGGCACATTATTATCAAAAGGGAATAAACGTTACCGTCATATTTTGAAATGCACGATCTGGAAGTATCATGTGAACACCGCATACCGGTTGTGTGACGATTCAGCTCGCTATCTCGGCGCCAGCGAGACGGAAATCGAGGCCAGTATACAACTCCGTGGCTTTGTCTCTCCGTTCGAAGCTATTTTCTACCGGAACCACTGGGTCATTTTCTCCATGAAAGACCATTTCAGTAATGATCAGGCCGACCTTCTTGTTATCAACCTGGAGCCAGCACCACTCGAGTTTTCCTAATTTAAAGTAAAAAGTCTCTAACATGTTTTGATACGTTGCAACCAGCTCAACCCAAAGACTTCAGTTACTTCTGTTTCCCTGTGAAGGATGATACCATAAGATAAAGATGAGGGGTCTTGCTTATTTAATTAAATATTTCAGTCATTGCCCACGCCGACGTTCTCTCTTTAAGGCAACAAAAGTTCTTTTCTGCCTTCAGGTTGCAAGTGCGTGGGCCCACTGTGTGTCAACGTCTGAGTCACTGTGAGGTCTTATTATTGATAAAAATGACAGGGGTAGGGTTATTCGAGAGGGGTAAGCTGGTATGATGGACGTATCTCAGCTGAGCTCGCTAGCCAATTTTCGACTCTTCAACCATTTCAATGCCACTACCTTTGATAAGTTGCGGCCGTAACCCAGTATAAACGTCTGGACTCAATCATGTCTACAGTTGAGGGATATTCCTTTTATGACGGCCTGCCGGCAGTGGGAAAAACGGACTCGCATCTTGCTACTCGAACCGGGGGCTTACGATGACCCTGTCAGCTGTTCATTATATCTCATGTCATTTCAATCTGCAGGTAAGTCGAGATTTTGTGACTGAAAAAGAGATAAAGGTACTAAAATAGGTCCAAGAATACGAAGCAATATCTTATGTTTGGGGGAGCACACAAGATACCGGCTCCATAGTCTGCCAGGGTCTCGAGATTGGTGTGACAGCAAACCTCGTCCAGTCCCTGCGTCAAGTCAGATATGTGGACCACCCGCGACATCTATGGGTTGATGCGCTTTGCATCAACCAGCGAGATCTCCACGAAAAGGCGTTTCACGTGAACATGATGGGGGAGATCTACTCGCATGCCTGGCGGGTCATCATTTGTCTCGGAGACGACGGACACAATGGCGAGGCTGCAACAACTGCTTTCGACGCGATCAGAGACTATAAACGTCTTGCCGCCAAGTATATAACGCAATCTCGGATAGCTGACGGAAGTGGCTGGAAGCCGGCAGATGATGAGGGTGGTTATGGTCTCATCACTCGCGAGCGGCTACTGCCTGCTGTGCAGATCTACAGAAAGCCGTGGTTCGGACGTGTCTGGGTTCTACAGGAAATTGGGCTTGCTGAAGAGGCACTCCTGGCGTACGGTAGCTCAACCATCAACTTTACTGAGATTATGGACTTCGCCCAGGCATGGGCGCAAACGGGCAACGATTTCACTGGCGTTTACTTCAGTTCCGGCTACATCTGGGGACTCTTCAATCACATCTGGGCCACCTATGCCGAGAGCGTTGACCGGTTGTGGTACCGATCTTCCTTTATCCTTACAACTTCCGCGCGACAGGTAATAAGGAAAAACAAGCCGGATTATGAGGACGTGCTATTCAAGGCCAGACAAATACTTAATACAGAAGGCTACAGATCCAAGGGATTTTGTCTACGCGTTTCTTGGACACCCACTTGCAAAGTCGGATGACGGACAACTCTTGGTGGAGGCAGGAACGGCAGATACGATGCAAGCAGAGGCGAGAACCTGTTGACTCAGGCAACGAATATCAAAGCCCGGGTATTTGCTTCTTGCCTCGAGACGTCTGTCCATAGTGTCGACACGATATTTCTCTGTGGCAGGATAGCCGGAGGAGAGCCGTCCCTTGACGGTAGTGCGCAAGTTGAGAATGCAGATGCCCACCGTCTGGCTACAGAAGCAGCACTTTGCAACCGGCCCAGCATCGCGGAAGAATACTGGGCCCTGCTAGAAGCCACAGAGAGGAGTCATGGCCTCGCCTATGCGGACAAGGCTCTCGCGTTCGCCAGCACCCTTTTACACGCATGTGACGATGATAAGGACCCTGCATCGATTGCTAGGAGCTCCAGCGAGTTTTGCAAAGAAAACTGTCCCACAATCCAGGATCGCCTTGAAAAGCACGAGTGGCTCAAAGAATGGACTTCGGCCAAGACTCACTTCATACCTTTCGTACCACGTACGGTTAGTAGCATAAACGGCGAGAAATTCTTCACAACGAAGAAGGGGTACTGATATGCGCGAACATTTCTTGAAGAGTATGCTTTGAATTCCATTCTCTTGCTAACCAACCGTAGTGGAACAATTACCCTGTTGGTCGAGCTCAGCGATTTGATATGCATTATTCCATCTGTTCAGACACCGCTAGTGATGAGGCCCGTTGAGGGAAGAGACGGGGCATTTCATATCATTGGCTCATCCTACGTATGTGGAATGATGTACGGTGATGTTTTCAAGACACCGGAGCCGGGTCACTGCTCCCCAGAAGTGTCAATTATTCATTTCGTGTGACGACCCTCAAACAGCAAAGATAGACAGTTTTGGATTGATCAAGACCGTATTCCTTCATATTTGCAGTGCAGCAAGGGTTGCGCTGAGTTACGAGTCCATGTTGATTTTTGTGTAACTTTGCTACGATGCGTATTATACTGCCACCAAAAGAATCTCCATGAAGACTTACTTTCCCTGCCTTGATGCTATTCAACGATTCAAGCTTGTCTTTGATTATTACAGAGTGACAACCTTCTCAGAGCTGACGTTCTTCTTGCCCTCCAAGCTATCCGTCAACTCAATACCCGAAGCCTTGGCGCAGACCTCAGGCGACGCCTCCGAGTCCCCGGCCGTGGGATTTCCATACTTCTCAAGCGTATGAATGTCAAGCTGTTGTGCAGAATATTAGCGACCTGTTCTCCTACTTGACGCGATAAGGTACCGTGGCTTACCTTCCGAACGACAAAGACGTAGCCCAACATGACGAAGCAGCAAACAATCATAACAATGCCACCTTTCTTCCAGTATGGGGCCTCATCAGCTGCGTAGAAAACGATACCCCAGAACGTATACAAAGTCAAGGAGAGGACGTTCATGCAGTAGACTGTGACACTGCGGACCGCGTCGTCGCCAGTGCGCTGAAGAATAATGCTTGCCCAGCCAAAGATCAACGGGTTGACCATGTACGCCGTACCGGACAGGTAGAAGGCGAAGAAGGTTCCAGCAAAGGGAAGGGTTGGGACCAGGAGCATAATGGCGCAAATAAGCTGCAAGAAGATAGCCAACACGGCCATGGGGACGCGGGTGCCGGTAGCGTCCATATGCCAAGCGGCCAACATATTGGACGCGATACCGACGGCCTGCACACCGAGTGGGTAGGTGTTGATTTGGCTTTGAGTGAAGTGCGATGACTGGTATTTCAGCCAGATAAGGAAGTTGTTCTGAACGGCATAGGCCTCAAGGGTAGCGCAGACAGGAGACCAGAAAACCAAGATCCAACTAGGTAAGTGTCAGCGAGGTTTGTACAGCATGGAAGGGGAAAGGAAAGACGTACAACATGGGCTGCAGGAACAAGCGCTTCATGAGAGAAAAGGGGTTGATGCTATGTCCCCCTTCCTTAATGGGAGGCAGACGAGCAACAGCCATTTTCTTCTCAGACTCACTCAGGTAGGTCGCCTTGGTGTTCTCCGGAATGTCAGGGAAGAAGAAGAAGCCAAAGAAGGCAATGGGGAGCGTGATGATGCCATCTAGGATTTTGTCAGTGTACTTCTCTGACCGAGGTAACAGGCTTTGCTTACCAATGAGGAAAACCCACTGCCAGCCACCAAGACCACCGAGTCCTCCCATGCCCTTGTAGATGGCCGCCATCATGACGCCAGCAAACATGGTGCCGACTTGACCGGATGCTGTGAAGATGGCTGTGCGCTTAGAGATCTCCTTTGGCTTGTACCAAGAGCCGATGATGTAGATGGTGCCCGCGTACGTGCTTGCCTCAGCCAGGCCAAGGAAGAAACGGACGACACAGAGCTGGGTGACTGTCTTGCATGCTGCACTGATCATCTGGCCGATGGGTTAGTACCTGCCGTGACCACGCAGTTATCAAACATGTGAAACTTACTGTGAGGGCAGCCCAGACAACCACCATGGATGGAAGCCAGATGCGGGGCTTAATCTTTTGAATAATCAATCCATGAGGAATCTGGCCGATGGCCATCCTGTGTGATTGTGTCAGCATATTCTGACAAGGAGGTGGCAGCATAGCCGACTGACCCTGCAGTTGTAACCGAAAGGACCGTGTTGTAGTCATGGCCCTTCATGTTCAGGGCCTCACGAAGGCCGGCGACCTACGCATTGGCAATTAACATTATAACGTAGATGATGGAGCCAGAAAACTTACATATGCATTGGCAAAAGCAGCACGGTCTTCAGCATTGGAGAGGTAAGCTCACTATCCAACTCATTGATCACAAGTGAGTGAGGCGGCTCTTACCGAGGAAGTTGAAGAAGTAGCTTAGACAGCAGTAAGTCTGTGAACGTTGTTAGTCGAGAGCCCTTCTGCGACCGACCGAATACGGTTACATACAAGGATGAAGAAGTCTAATGTCACTGTCAGCTTCAGTCTACGGGTATATTCGCCAGGATGACCTACCAATCTTCTGCACGAGCTTCCTTTCCTCCCTGCTCTTTGCTTCGTCACCCAGGAAGAAGACTTTGGCCTCCGAGTCAGTACCAATCTGGGCTTTGGTTCTTCAGTACAACTCTACCTCGGATCTTCTCCCCGACAGAACTCTTGTCAGCTGACATCTTTGCAACTGCCTACGCGGATGGGCGAATGGTTGTGAAAGACGGATGATCAGCTTTACAGCAAAGAAGGGAGACAGAGGTATATCAAACAGCAACGGCGCAATCTGATCCATCCCATAAGATTATCTCCGAATCTGATAAAACTTTTCCATCCCACCCACCTGGCCTCCTGCTGCGGGGACTTCCCTGGAATCCCTGCCTAATGGCGCATATATTCACAGTGAAGATCCGAGCTTCGTGGAGCTCGTTTAGTAGCTGACATATTGTGACAAATGATTCTGACTGGGCGACACAGCCAAGACACTTGGGGAGCGTTACCTCAAAGCATACCGAAGATGTCAAGCGAACCTGTCTGGCCTGTCGCATGGCTCCCCTTTTGGCAGGTTAAGTGTAAGCGAACTCCACTGATGGGCAGGGAGATGGCGTCCGTGAAAAATGAGACCGGCCCAGGCTCGAGTCATACGCGGACACGAGGAAAGAGAGACCTGACTTCGGGAATTCTTTCCGACGAGGCGACGAATAGGCAGGAGGCCCAAGGATCGTCCAGTGCTTTTCTTGGCTTTAACATTATCAATCTTTCATCTGACAAAGATCAAATCGTCTGGCGCTTCTTATCAGATAAAATCTGATAATCAGGATACGGTCGAGTCGTGGACCGGGCCGGTGTCAGGGCTTGAAGCTGGGGGAGGTGTTGGACTTTGCGTTAAGCTTTAGCATATTTTAGCAGATCTCCACCAGTTTGAACTTAAAGTCGTCCCGAGAACCGCCCCCACAGTATCCAGGCTCCCGGTTTGGCTCCGGAGTCTGGGGCGTCGAGGGTTCCTGAGTCGAGTCAAACCCGCCTCAAGGACCGAAGCCGCAACTGTGCTCAAAGTCGCCTTCAAAACCAAAGGTTTCATCAATTATCAAGAAGAAAAACAACTTGTTATGCATGATGCTGACAATGACGAGAATCAAGTGGTACAAGGAAGGAAAGACAATTGCCCCGATGATGCAGGGGCTGAAGAGACAATCGTTCCAATCGTGCAAGTGAACAGGCGAGCTCCGATGTAGCCGAGCATCCACGCTTCGGTGCTCGGTGTTAAGACCCGCAACCAACTTCAATCTCTTGGCTTTTAGTCATGAACCAGACTCGTGCTTTTGGTCGCAGAAACAAATATCTCACAAACGGCTGCCCACACGCCTTCTAGAAAGTCCATATGGACGTAACATTTCCCAGTGTGCCACTCAGTAGGTGTGGACTGAGTTGAAACCTGCCACTTGTTGTGTCGCGAACTAGGTACTATCGGTTTATGGCTTAGTCATGCGCATGACTGTAACGAGGGGTGTTTGGCATGCAAGTATTCGAGAAGTCCGGGTTGATACACACGTAGCTAAATATGCGATTAAGCTGCTTAGTCTGGAACCGAGGAACTCTCGGTTGTTTCTAAGCCATGGACCTAGCTGTAGATGAGTTCATCCAGGGCATGCGTGTTCATGGTCTCATTTCCATCAATTGTCCGAGATGAATTCTTCATCTGAGAGCGCACGAAAACCCCTGAGGCGAATGCCTCAATCTCGCAACAAAGCTTGCATTCCATGCCAGAAGCAAAAGGTTGAAACCTGGGCCTTTCGTCGCGGAGCTGTACTGACCCCGCAACTAGGTCCGGTGCCGAGCGAGTGACGATGGCACCCCTTGCCAAAGGTGCCAGAAAAGAGGCATTCAATGCCATTTCAGCAAGATCCCACAATACTGGAAACCTAGCGGCAATGAAGCTCTCCAGTATGATTTCGTCTCCTCTTGGTCGTTATTGCTATTGACATGTTGAGCTAGGATGACAGTGGCTGAAGACCTTGAGACGCTACGCGATGCAATCAACAACATCCTGGCGAACAGGAAACAATCGACACTTGGGCCTCTCAAGACGAGACCGGTCTTCCCGCAAATGGAACGAAGTCCAAGTCCCTCGGCATCCGTGGCGTCGGATCAACTTTCACAGAGTGGTGGTCATTTAACGGGCGACTCACTGAGCATGCGCACTCAAGACAGAGCGTCGGTAGAACCTTTGACCCAGATACCCATCAAGTCTCTATATGAGATCACGCGGCTCGAATCATTACGTTCTCGTCAAGTATCACCATCGTCAACGAATAAGAGAACACCGGCTGGCGTGAACGGTCCTCGCGATCTGGTTACAGAAGGTAAGATCAATCTCGTTGATGCCAAACGCCTTGTTCAGAAGTTCCTGGACCAAACGGACCATTATCTCTATGGCGTCACTACGATATATCAAGACCTGGATGGTATTCGTAATGCGTCGCCGCTGCTGTTCACGGCCATTTGCACCGTATCAGCTCTCCATGAGCCCCAAGGTGAATCGCTTTACCGCACCTGCAGCCTAGAGCTTCGAAAGCTTGTAACCAACTTTGTCTTCGCCCCACAAGTGAGCATGGGCGACTTTCAGGGACTACGTATCGCCTCATTCTGGTTGAGCGACATGGCGTGGTCAGTCTCTGGCCTGGCCATCCGCCGAGCTATGGAGTTCCAACTTGGGAAGGCATTCGACTTTGTCATTGGCACCACCACTATTCAGAAAGTCTCTCCCCACAGATTTCAGCTTGGGAGCCGAGAAGAGGCACAAGAGTGCTTGAGAGTCTGGTATCTCTACTACATCTGCGACCGCCATCTGTCAATTCTCTATGGCAGACCCTCAAGCTTTGGAGACCAAATCTCAGTCAACAAGTGGGAAACCTACCTGAACGCAGTGCCCGAGAACAGCACCGACGTACGGCTGGCAAGTCAGATCGAGATGATTCTGATACTGGACAAAGTCACCGGGATCTTTGGTACAAACGTGGAGGTTTGCATCCCTGGTCACTTTCACACCCAACTACAGGGGTTCAATCGTCAACTTGACCAGTGGATCATGGCTTGGACAGGCCGATATCGTGAGTTTCCATCTCGCAACTCAACTTATGATGGCCGGGCTCTGACCACGTCAACAGGACCACATGAGAGGATAGGCAACTTCCCAGTGAAGGCGCTTACACTCCACTACCACTTTGCAAAGCTCTTTGTATCTTCTCACGTTTTCCGCGGCCGATCGTCTCATGCTGGCGGTGAACCGGTTCCCCCTGAGTACTCTGACATGGCTCAAGTTGCCGTCAGCAGTGCCAGCGCTATTGTGGAGCTCATCATACACGACGTCGACATTCGAGCTGCTTTCGTGGGGATGCCTCACTACTGTCATACTATGATTGCGTATGCCTGCTCCTTTTTGCTCAAGCTTGCGACCAGTCAGCATGACAAAAGCTTGAATGCAGAGGAAACCTTCCGTGCGATTCGAAAAGTGGCAGACTTCTGTCAGAATGCGCAATGTACGAGCTATCATCTCGTGCACTGGATGGGAGCAGGCCTACGAGACCTGGCTGCGAAGTGTGAGAACGCCTTATCAAATCAGTCAACAGCTCCGAAAGCTCGCATTGGAGTCCAGGCCGAGGGGACGGTAGTCCAAGACGACATGTCCATGCAGCAGGCACACGAAGAGCTTGAGACGAGTCTAGGCATCTCCATTGAGCCTGGAAATGCCTGGGATGCAGCAAGAGGTGACGCGAGCTTCCAATGGGGAATGGGGCCAATCGATGCGTCCCTGGGTAACATGAGCTCGAGCTTCATCAACCCGACGTTTGACCCGAACATGGGGTCTGAAGGTCCTGAGGCAGGATGGGAATCACTACTACCAACATTTGATCTTGAACACATGGGCTTCGGGTTACTTTGATTCTTGTAATCTATAGGTCTAGCTTATAATGACAGAAACATTGCTTCACTACTATCTTAAGCTCGGACATCATCCTCTGCTGTCTTGATCCATGAAATGGAATCTTTCAGATACGTCGACGCACGCAGGTCACCAGAACGAGCATGAGCTTCGAAATTCTCGGCCCGAGCAGCGCGACCGCATAGCCGTCCTAGCTCACCGCTGGCCTTCTCACTGACGACCTCTTGATAAGTGCATGTCTTGAGATACTTTGCAACCCAAAGGCCGCCACTGTAGCGAGCCCCCTTTCTCGTTGGCAAAACATGGTTTGTTCCAATACACTACAGTCATTAGTATTTGGATCAAACCAGGCAGATGCTGACTTACCTTGTCACCGTAGCTGACACATGTTTTCTCACCCAAGAAGAGGGCTCCGTATTGCGTCATCTTTTGCAGGGCGTCTCGCGGCTCTCGTGTGAGTATCTGAACATGTTCCGAAGCAAAGGTATCGGCGACCTTATAAGCCTCATCCAAGTCATCGACGACAATCACCTCGCCGTGGTCTTTCCAGCTGACTGCAGCAATGCCTTTGGTTGAGAGATGCTCCAGGCATGCACCCACGTAGCGGACAGTCTTCTCTGCCACTTCTTGAGAAGGCGTGATGAGAACCGCCGGGGTATCTGGACCATGCTCGGCTTGAGAGACCAAGTCTGTCGCAACAGTCATTGGGTCCGCGTACTCGTCGGCGACAATGAGAATCTCAGTGGGGCCTGCCACCAGATCGATACCAACCTCGCCGTACAATTGACGCTTGGCTTCAGCAACGAATGCATTACCGGGACCGGCGATGAAATCGACCTTCGCTATAGTCTCGGTTCCCAAAGCCATGGCCGCGACAGCCTGAACGCCGCCGAGAATGAAGATCTCATCACAACCGGCAAGATGCATCGCTGCAACGGTGGCACTGGGAATCTGACCAGAGATGGGAGGGGTGCACCCGATTACACGGGGCACGCCCGCGACCTTCGCAGTCAGAATTGTCATGTGTGCTGAGGCCAAAAGGGGGTACCGGCCACCCGGAATGTATGCGCCAACTGTTTCGATAGGGATATTCTTTTGTCCAAGAAAGACACCCGGTTCGCTTTCAATCTCAAAATCTCGTATGCTGTCTCTCTGCGCCTGTGCAAATCTCCTCACATTCTGCTGGACCGTCTTGATGTCCTTGATGGTCTGAGGGTCGACTTTTGCAATGATCTCCTGGATTTGTTCCGATGACAGCTTGAACGTCTTAGGCTCCCACTTGTCAAACTTCTGGCTGTATAAGCGGACAGCGGCGTCACCGTTGGCCGAGATGTCGTTGATGACCCCTCGAACAACGTTGGGAACGTCTACCGACGGAGCTGAGGCAGTGCCATTCGAAGCTGCAGCACTGGGCTTCTTGACATGTTTCGGAGCCATTTTCTAAACGAGCAAGTCCGTAATAGGAATAAAGTAATAGTTCTTGGAGACGATGTTATTGGAAAGGGAGGAGCGGGGTGTGAATACGATGCACTTGATCGAACAGGATATGAGTTTGTTTTGTATTGCAGCAACGCTCGACATGAAGCAAGAATATTGCATTTCAAATCAAAGAACTTTCCGCTGTCGCATTCATAGGTCCCGATGAGCCGGAATTCGATCCGGCTGTTCAGCGAGGTACGGCTTTGCCGCCACTGTTTGCGAAGTGACCAATAGGCCGGCGAAGTTCTCCGCAGCGCTCGGGTTGTGGGGTTTAGGTGTCTCGGTGAATTTCGCCGAGCTAAGTCCCAGCCAACGTCTGAGTCGCCGAAATTCCCCGACCCGTCAGCATGCGATAAAACAGATATCGAGCGAGCTTCTAAAGGATCACTTTCTGTGAGGTTATTTGTGGATACTTGCATTGAATGTGTTCGACGTTAGATGTCCTACTCACCCCAACATGTAGGGGCAGGTCCTCGTAGTTTTCCAAAATCTGGTTGACGAAAACCATATGATCTTTCATCTCAACTCATTCACGCTATTCTTGTGAAGTATCTACTTTAAGCTTGCCCAGCCGCGGCTTTCTTCTGAGCAGCTTCAGTCATCTCGCGCCTCTTCTTCTGGAAAATGGGCTCAAGATTTCCATCCAATGCTTCTTTGCAGAACTCTTCAAATGGCTTCCCAGTCAAGTCTGGGTAGAGCTCCTTGCCGATTTGGTAACCCAGATAACGGGCATACTCGGGAGTGTTGTCCCCTCGAAGACCCCAAGACTTGCGGTACTGCAACACAGACAGCTTGTGAGGGTTGGCTTTGTCATCCTTCGCCTTCACCATTGCGGCCTCGATATCATCAGACGACAGCTGCATTATGTCAGCTATAAGTCAGTGAGATGAGAACAGGAGGTACGTACGTATTGTCTATCGAGCTTCTCTCCGCTCAAACTTTCAATGAGGTCGTAAACTTCGTTTTGCGAGATCAATTGGGTGTATGCGAAAACCTTCTGGTTCAGGGTACGAGGATCCGCAACGATGCGAGCGACGTATTTGCCAATATCCCTTAGGTCCGTAATAGCAGACTTGACAGTGCCATCCCCTGCAATCCAGTTGTCAAACGGGCTGGCGACAGCATCAATGCGACCGGAAGCCAAGCGAGGCAGGGTAATCTGGTACCACCAGCCGACGTCAATGACGGTGTAGGGAAGGTAGAGTGTTTGGACATGGTCTAGGACATCCTCTTTCTGTGTGTCAAAGCTTAGCAGTTGTATCTCCTAGGCTCATCAGGAACGCTAAGTATTACCTGGTCACGGAACCACAACATTCCTCTAGCCGGCATCACGGTCCCGAAGAAGCAGGGGACGAATCGACCGACACCGGCCTTCTTCGACGCGCTGGCAAGTGGGAGCTGCTCGAGGAGGCTGTCTGCAACGATGGCGGAAATGACGACATCGAAGCCAGTGACCTGCTTAACGATTTCATCCTCAGGTCCTGTGAGGTCGGTGGAAGCTATCTTGACGCCCCTTCCTTTGAGGGCATGAACCTCGGGCTTGTCAAGCGAGCCGGGTCGGATGAGAGCAGTGACGTCCTGCGTCGTGCCAGTCAGCATACGCAATAATCCTGGCGACTATCAAATTTCTCAAACTCGTACAAATTCTGTATCTGGAGATGCTAGCAGTCCATTCACAATAGAAGTCCCCGTCTCCCCGGTGGCTCCGACGACTGCGACCTTCATTCTTGCGTTGAATTTGTCGACGAGTATACTGTGCTGAAAGTGCTTTGCGTGAAAAGGTATGACTGTATTATCTCACCGACTGAACTTAAGAGAGTGTTCTTTCAATCACTCATGTTTCGATGAGAACTCTGGGGTTTACATAGAGATTTATGTTGCAAGTGACAAACTTGCGTGAAATGGATCCCTAGTTGGGGAAGTCGAATATCATTCGCTCCCGCTGCCAAGATGAAATCATTGCTACCATGTTTACAAAGCAGAACACAAAGTCCGCAGAAAAGCGGGGAAAAGAAACGGGCTGGCCCGGCTTGAGACACGTTGAACGGGCGGAGTTTGTGGGTTCTCTGAACCGGGGTCCCCGCTTTCGGTTTCGGTTCCGGAAAGGCACTGACAGTCCGAAAGGTAGCAGTGATGCCGGGAACAGCGGCGCGGGCCAACAATACTACAATAGATGCCAGGCTGACTAGTCAGACTCAAGCTTAGAACCTACGGGAAGATCATTCGCCAAGTGTGACATCGTTGTTGTTCGCCCAATGCAGATCGTGAAACCTTTCCGCATACGGACAGTCTTTTCTTGCTTTCATGACTCCTTTGCTGTTATCTCACACATAGTGAGACATCAGCCAATCTGACAGAAGAGTGAATGCTTCTGAGCTAATATATATTAAGGTAATGTTACTATCTCGAATTACAGAGAGAGGTTGGCTCGTGACGAGGTAATCACAAATCCAAGTCGATGGAATCCTGAGCTTGAACCCACTAATCAAATCTCAAACCTTTTCTAGGCTTTGAAATGTATGAACATTTGGTTCCCAGCGATGTGTTTCTTGTATTTGGCGAATGAATTTCCCGTGACTCTGTCTTCGTCGTCGTCATCGTCTGCTTTATCGTCGTCTACCCGGTGGGCACGCTTTTCTTCACACCAAGTGCAAAGGGATCCGCTGAAACAGCCAATTGACTACAGGAAGCATTGAGTACGGTCTGCAAAGTTTTACTTCGGTCTTGAACTCCGTAGAACTCGACTCGTTGAACCCGACTCGAAATCGATTTTATCATCTGTGCTCTTCGTCACCATGGATTTCCGCTTTGACGATTTTTGTCCCTAGGGCAGGTAAGTATGTTTCGAAATCAAGCGACGTAGTCCCACGTATAGAGCATAGCTACGAGCTCTAAAAACGAACTTCGCCGCTTGTCTGCGCTCAGTGCCCGATGCCCAGTCGCGGTGACAGAGACATAACCCCAGTATCCGAAAGTAATACTCTGCTGGGAGCATAGCAAGGCCCGGCAGGCTTTAATGAGAGCAGTGTGAACCCGCAAAGGTGACATGGTATTTGAAATTTAGACCTGGTACAATTATACACAGTTATTTCGAGGCTGTATAAGTTGCCAGTGAAGAACGAGCTGAAAACCTTCGTGCGGTCTTTTGGTTGACCTTAATATGCGTGCGATATATGTAAAAACTGTATTTGTGGACGCTCTCTCGATACAACAAAGATCATCACACACTCCATAGTGTCTGGTGTGTTTTGACATCATTGCTTGAGATGCGCGTGTGAATCAGGGAGAAACAGACTTTACCAATCGAAGTGTCCTAGATTCCTGTAACGCCTAGAGCAGGAGGAGTATAAATAAGCGTTTGATGAGGCTAGGGAAGAACTGATGTAGCGTTTCTGACCAAAGGATTATGTGCGAGTAAGCCGCATCCACACAAGAGGCTTTCGAGGCTCGGTGTATTTAGAGTCAGCTTCAGGTAATCAAGTTCACAGTAGTGGCGAGATTACTGCTAAGAGCACGGAGGATCCGATAAAAAAACAGATGATCATTCCATAAGTTCTTTCAGGTCTTGAGCCCAAAAGAAATGCTGGCTGCTATGACGGATGTGTACGCAGAACATCGCAGAACATCGCGCTAGGCTCAGAAGATGGTCTATAAACTACAAGGGAGGGAAGGAAAGATGCATCAGAAAAAGGACATGAAGCACTGAACATTGGCTGGCCGTGACGGACCAGATTACTATTCCAAACTCCGGTAGGATCATCTGGATGGAGCGAAACAACCCAACCCCCTCCCCCCCGGCCTGCCAAACAACCAGTTTGACAACGTAAAGTTGCCATCCTTCCATGCGGGGTGGGAAATCCTATGACCTGTGTTTCAATCCGCAATTTGGACAAGCCTCAATGAAACATCGATCGTAAGAGGGGGCGATGGTAGCCGAGCCTTATGATCAACCACAGTTGATTTTGGTTTCAATTTCCGGCATACCCTACAGTGAGTACCATGTTTAAGCGTGATTCTGTCACCGACCCACACAGCCTACTTGAATATTTCAAAGCATGATCACCACACACTGTATAAGAACAGTTTCATAGGCTCATGGCTGAGTTGAACATGCGTTCTTATCACATTTCCGCTGACATTTCCGGTTGCTTAGCTGCACCTCTCCTAACAGGGAACATTGGCGACGCATCACCTTCCCAACATAGCTTCCCCATGGTCCTCCATCTGACACCGTTTCTCCCAAATATTAGACGTTCAACCAGTAGGCTGATACTTCGTTGACTTGGCGAGAAGAAATGATGCAGCGAGGCGTCCAATCGTAGAGGGTTCTCTAAAAGTCGACATGGGTTCCGCGGCAGCCCAGACCTTTCCGCAGCCTGATTTGGCTTCCACTGAGCCGCCTGATCCGATTTTCTTTCTGTGCACACCTGATGAGTGCCTTTTTGGGACTAATAAAACGTTTGCTTTCCCACTAAGTTGGGCAATGATTTGGTGGTTTAAACACCAAGAAACGACCGAAAAGGAAAACAGCAACATAATCCCCTTTCCTTTCCAAAAGAGCGCGACCTAATAACGCATAAAGCCGGTCCAAGAAATCAAACCCAATACTGCCTCTGAGTGCGCGGCACTCACGTCTCTCGCCATTGGAAAGAAGCAGTCTGACAGCGTAACCACATATATCGAGAGAGTTCCAACCGACTCAGCCAGTCATGAAGACATGGTATTTCTGGCTGCTTCTCAGCAAGAGGAAGCAAACCTTTATTGTTACAAGAGCCCGGCCAGTAGCGGTGGGTCGTTTTCGCGTGCCTTCCTGATGAGGCTGTGCTAACTTGTCTAGCCGGTAACTGCTTGTGGGCGACCGTGAACCGCCCATTTTTGCCGTCCAACAGGGACGAATCGCTGAGGTTCCTCGGGGTCTGCTTGTGCTAAGAGCCTAACAAATCAAGACTGTATCTAACTACTACGCAGGAATTTAGACAAGGTTCGGCAAACCGTGCGCGAGGTAGTACCGAATATAATCTATACCCTTTCATTACCCTCGTGTAAGTAAACGTATCTTAAGCACCCACATCAGCCCCACGCTCACAGACAAAAGCGGTGCTCATGGATATGGATACGACACCCATCACAAGATCAGTCTCGATCGTATGATCTTCCGACAGATCATCAAGGATTTCGAGCTTCCAAGTATGAGCGAGGAAGTGGTTCAGTCCATTCATGGGGTGTTTTGCAGCTTCGATGAGGTCGAGGAGCAAGATGAAATCACTCACAGTCCGGTTAAGTCTCTCGGTATGTAATTCCAAGGACGCACGATCATGACGCTCAGTCACTGACTTCCCAGTAGTCGTCACCTTGTCCACCTCCAAGTCTCCGATGAGGCAATCTTTCCTCTCGATGAGACTCCGAGTCGTGGAGAAGCAGTGCTCAATAACCTGCCTTCTACTGGAGGGCAAGCGACACGATCTCTGCAGGGTGGTCAGCAACATCCTTGCTCGCACGGTAGATTTCGACTGGCGGCACCCACTGGCCTTTCTTGTCGCGCTGCTTCGGGACATTGGGCAGGCCTCAGAGGTGAAGCGAAAAGAGTTGGATGACCATATCGTCAAGATTGAAATGGAGACCAATACGTGTATTCCCCCGCCGGTAGAGGGTCAGCCGGAGCCACTCTTCATCAAGAAGGTCTGTTGGCCCGAGGACCATTACGAGTGTATAGGCCTCCTACACAGGTGCAACAACCAGCTCGTCTTTGCCACCAGGGCCGTTGACGAGGAGATTGAAGCGTGGAGGCAACTGCAGGGTCTGCTGGAGGATAAAAGTTCGATATGCAACGTTGAAGGACTGACTAACAAGAACATCCAGACCACAATGCTGAACACGGTCAAGTTCCAGTTGACTCACACCAAAAGTCGAAGAACTCAGATCCAGGGCCTTAGAGACCGCGTTGCCGTGCAAATTGAGTTGGTAAGTACTTCAAGTCTTGAAAGAACATGGGGTGAAAGAGTCCCCTGTCTCTTCGTTATCCAGACATTGAGACGGCTTTTGCAAATTCGGAGACCCGGTCAACATTCATGTTGGTGTGGCTGACAACATTCCCAAGATCCATAACATGACGGCACACAAGGAGGCCTCGCAGACTACCATGATTGCCATAGTCGCGCTGATTTTCGCGCCTGCGAGCTTGATAGCGGTAATATTCTTCATTTGAACTTGATTCCAAGTTCTGCAATATGAGTCTGGATGTTACTGATTGCGACTTTTACGCAGACCATCTTCAGCGCCGGTCTCTTCGCGACCGACGACCACTCCTGGACCACCTACATAGCATCTACAGTCCCTATCACTTTGGCCATCTTTATACTCGGTCTCCAATTTACGAAGCTCCAGGCCACGCTTAGGCAAGGGTGGAAAGTTGCAGTAGGGAGATGGCAGGATGTAGGACAAAAGGAACCAAGGACGCCGGTTTGAACAACTGTCTCGAGAACATCCGCTGCGACACGATGTTGTGTTCCCTCTAACTAAGTCTCTTTGAAGGTAGTCAAAGTTACATGTAGACATTTAATGAAATCAATGGACTGTCACGAAGACAAGGCCTTGGACGATGCACGGATGGTAGTTCGAGCGCGCAAGGGTCACATAATCATCCATTCATATACAGGCGCAGTAACTCAAGATATCCGAGACGGTGTAAAAGTTGCCAACGGGAGTGGAACTCAAAGGGTTATCCAGTGAGACACTTTGGACAATTATTCAGTTTCCTGGTGGAAATTTGAGTCAGGCGATTGGACATGAATTGGCCATTGCGTGAAACTGGTCTTGGCGGCTACCTTGAGAGGTCACGAAGGAAAGTTCGAAACGGAGTTGACAGCAACCTCGCCACTGGGAACTAACTTTTGCTAGACTGGAGTTGACTATAAATTTACAGTGCCTTGCAAATCGCTTGCGTGAAAAATACTTTCGCGGGATCATTTCTCGTTAGAAACACCAATGTTTACGTCCCCTTCAAATTCACTTAGCGTACTCACCTCACCCCTCCTAATCAAAAGTCAACAGTCAAGACTGCATGGAAGTCCAGCTTAGTTTGATTGACAAAGCCTGCTCATCCCTGCTCCCCGGGCAAACAGCCATGTTGGAAGACACGGAGCTCCGCGGAGTCTACGATACTCTCCGTTCGTCTCGCGAGGGCATTTATCGCTGGGGCTTCTACCTCTATCGCACGACCTATGACGATCAGCCGCTCTGGGAACGCTACATCTCCAACTTCAGACAACAAGCCTTTGACTTTATCGCGAGAGACTCTTCAAGCAAGCGCGACGAAATGCAAGCAACTTTCCGGATATCAGTCATAGAGGATCGAGAGTCTCTGGATGGCGCATCTATCCAAGAGGTCCTGAGGCGATTTCAATCTTGGGCCAATGCTCTTCCGGATGAAGGCGACGAGAGCCAGGACATCCCAGCCAACGATAGCCGCGACTACGCTCGATTCAACCTTTGCCTTTATGTGGACATAGAGTGCCTGAGTTCATTGGAAACATCCATTTCTTTTGTCAAGGTAGTGAATGCACAGACCCCATTTCCTGACTCTGAGGAGGAATACTCGGACAGCGACGAAGACCTGACAGACAGTGGCGAAGAGTCTGAAGCGAGCGAGCACGATCCCGAAGACGATTGGATGTATCTGGAGTCCGAGTCGCTTTGCCGTTACTACGACATCATGATTCACGGAGCTGAATGGGATCGGCAGTCTGGGATGGTTAAGTACCCCAGGAAGCGCCCATGGGATCTTTAAGGAGGCGCACCTCCAGCGTGTTTTGGTCAAGACGAAACACCTCAACATCGTACCTACAAACAGGTACCGAAGCTTTCGCCACTTGGGAGACAAGTAGATTGAAATAGTTCCCTATGGCCTTAGCCTTAGCTTCAAGCCCATGAATATATATATACATTAAGTCTTCTTGATAATCACCACGCGACTGTCGTAGTCTCCTTCAAATGCGTACTGAATTCCAGTGTTCATCAAAGTCGCTCCAGAGTAGGTGCCATTGCCGTCCAATGAGTACGAGGCAGTTGGGTCCAATCCTTGCAGGCGAAGCCTCGGCAGGGCATGGTTGTACCAGGATCTGACCTGGTAGTAGAAGAGAACAGCCTGGGACCCGTCCTCAGAAATGACCATGGCAGCTGGCCAGTTGGACTCTTCAGGCAGGTTCAATCGCCACAGGTCACCCCCAATCACAATGGGATTGACAAGCTCATTGAGAGCCAGCAGTTCGGGGATCTGGACCTTGTCCTCATCAGAGATCTCAGCTGGGTTTAACTCGAGGCCGAAGGAGCCGCCCATCATGGCAACGTGAGCACGGAACTTGATGGGGATTGTGCGCGTGGTTTGGTGGTTGGGCACCGCTGAGACGTGGGCACCCATGGCAGCAAGCGGGTAGGCGAGGGATGTGCCAAACTGGATGGAAATGCGATCCAGAGCGTCAGTGTTGTCGGAAGTCCAAATTTGAGGGAAGTAGTGAAGGACACCGGGGTCGAAGCGGCCACCACCAGACGCGCAACCCTCCCAAAGAACATCTGGGAAACGAGAAGTGAGGGTCTCAAAGACGTGATACATTCCCAACATGTAGGAGAGGCCGATTCCAGGTGTAGGTGTCTCGTGAAAACCTCTGTTGTTGTCCCATTTGACATATGTGACGGGAGCGCTGGAAAGGATACTGGAAACCGATTCGATGATGTACTCCTGGACTTCTGGAAGAGCCACGTTGAGAACCAGCTGGTTCCGTCGGATCGTGCGAGGGTACGGCCCCGCGTGGAGGGCCCAGTCAGGGTGCTCGTGGTAGAGAGTCGAGTTGGGGTTGACCATTTCGGGCTCAAACCACAGACCAAACTGCAACTTGTCGGAAGAATTGGTAACTTGCAGATTCGTGACCTTGTTCACAAGAGCAGGCAGGCCATCCGGGAAGCGAGTAGGGTTGACCGTCCAGTCTCCAAGACCGGCTGTGTCGTTCAATCGGGGGTATTCCTGGCCAAACCAGCCGTCATCGAGAACGAACAGCTTGACGCCAAGTTGTGAAGCCTCCTGGGCGAGGTCGTAGACGGTACTCTCGTTGTAGTTGAAGTAGAGTCCCTCCCAACTATTGAGCAATGCCGGGCGAGGCTCGGTGACGAACTTGCTTCTCATGAGGTGCTTCCGGTAGAGTCGGTGAAACTTTCGAGACATGCCACCAATTCCCGTGTTGGAGTAGATGGCGACAACCTCAGGCGTGGTGAGGGTCTCTCCTGGTCTGAGCGGCCAAGAGAGTTGGTAAGGGTTGAAGCCGATCATGGCCCGGGTGAAACCCTGGGATCCTTTCTCAACCTCGGCAGAGAATGAACCTGTGTAGACTAGGGAGAATCCCCAAGCCTCACCCTGAGACTCGGTTGTATCCGGAGATACAAGTGCCAGGAAAGGGTTGTGGAGATGAGAAGAGTACCCGGTTGTGCTTCCGAACCTAGTTTCGAGTGGAATCAGCATAATTCCCTTGGCAGATCACTATCGCGTAGTTGGAACTCACCCTTGCGTGCCGTAGTCAATCTTCCGGCGGGTTCTCATGGCCTCTCGAGCCCAGTCTCCCCTTAGCTCGAGGAACTCCATGTCGTCGAATGGCAAATCAACGCTGAGACTTGCAGCCTTCTCCACCGTGATGTTTCCCTGGCCCTCATTGGTGATGTTGACACTCCGCACAATAGCATCGTACTTCGGGAAAATTGAGTAAGAGAGGTCGACAGCTATTGAACTGTAGTTGTCGAAGAGGGAAACAACCAACGTTGAGACGTCATTCTCAGTCCCAAACGTGGACGGAAGCCCAGGCAAGCCAGGCTTGCCCTGGACGACCCTGTGAGATCGATACTGGAGGTCACTGACGGTGTATCCAGCTGTCTCGCGAATCTGCAGTGCGGGGACCCTGAAGTCCCCACGACCAAGGTCAGGGTACTCCCGTCTGACACGGCCGATCATGTCCACCCATCCGTTGACCTCTGGAGCAAGCATCGCCATACTCTCAGTAGCCGAACCTCCAAAATGGTCGGTGAGGAGGTCGCCTGTGATCTCATCCACGTGGAAGCGGTACGATGTATGGTCACCATTGAGGGCAAAAGACGTGCCATCAACAACGATTCCTTCTCAAGGTCAGCGCTGCTGGACTTGAATTGACAATGGGTGTGCCTTACCGTTTGCGGAGGCATTCTGGGCTGATGTTTGACCAACAAACACTGTTGCGGAAGCAGCCAAGGCAAAATGCCTCAGCCAGTTGTTACCGACCATATTGAGGGCTAAAGTGGTCGAATCACCAATGACAATTGGATGCCAGATGAGCTCGCCAGAGAAGTGCGATGTTCTCGAAAGTCCTGGCTTCCATCTGACTTTTTCACGGCGGAAGAACCGGTATTTATGTCACTTTCTACCTGCATATGCGGCTCGTCCGGGTCTCCAAGAATCTCGTGATGCATCCGCTCAAGTCACGACCCATCGTCAAAATTGTCGGCGGTTCCCCTCTCAAAGATCAGCAGGGCAAGAAAAACAACTCCTCCAACATTGCACCCGAGAGCCAAAAAGGTAACGATCAACCTGCAGGATTAGTTTTCCGCAGCTAAACCGCAGTGCCAGAAGCACCGGATGCAACGTTCGGCCGGATCACAATTTTGGGCAACATGTGGCGCCAAACCCAATCCTGTTAGTTGGAGATGAGGGGTAGCTAGGCCGGGGTATCACTGCAGTGGAACACTGGGGAATGGGGCAGATTGGAGTGCGCCCGGCCTGGGGTAAGCCAGTTTATTCTGTCACCTGTGTAGCCGGGGAACTGTCCGGCAAACACTCCGGGCTGAAATCTCTACGCATTCGATCCTCTGAGTAATAGAGAAACTCAAGCTCGAAGTTAAGCATATGGATGTTTGCTGGCAATCGACTGAAGCCTCGAAGAAAATCTCAGGCGCACACAATGTTCCTGCTTCGCATCATTCACCGGTGAAACAATTTGTTTCTCGCTGATGCCGATGATGACCCCACTGTTGTTAGTGCCGCCAAGAAGACCGTTGGTCTGATCCTGATCGCGGAACGTCATCGTGGGGTTGAGTGGTATAAAGTTTTCCGCCAGTTTTCCGCCGGCACCACTATTACAGGAAATCCCCACTCACGGTAAGCTCAAAAGGCGGAGTAACTATCTATTGATTGGCTATTTGCGAAGTTTACTCCAACATCTTTCACATCGTTTATTCTCGTATGATTTTCTAGAATCATCATCGGCACCAAGAAAGACGGTCTATCGTGGGGCCGGACTGATCTGGCTCTTTGTAACTCGGCCCTATTGTGGATTCTTGGGACGTCGAAATGAATGGAAGGCTGGCAACTGGCTGATTGCAGAGAAGAGCAGGCACGCTGACCCAAGCTCCTGTTTTGCGGAGATATTTCTTGTCCTCAATCGTCGCCATGGGGAGAATAAAGCTTTGCTTTGTGTGATATAGGCCGAGCCGTTATTGGAGCTTCACGTGGAGGCTGTTGCAGGCATCTATCGACATTGAAAGCACACGCATCGCCGAATACGTTGTTTCAAACGAGAGCAGACAGATTCAGGATTTGTTGTCAGTGACCTTTTAGCTCGGACAGAGACGAAAGCGGAATTTGCAGCTGGCGACGACTTACAGGCTCTGACAAGCCTGGCGTTATCTTATATAAATCTAGGAATAGCATGATCACGATCGATTTGATGATCACCGTTAAAGGCTTTACAGCGGGGAAGGGATGCTTTGAATAGAATGGGAATCCTATAAGTCCAATATAAGACAAGAACTACTACTAGGAAAGGTAGTTGGTTGTGCTTGAGCTAATTTTGCTTACGAAGTTCACCAAGCATGATAAGACTTCGCGTGAAACGAAAGTAGAATCAAGGTGTATAGCCACAAAGACGACAGGCTCTGTGGTAATCCCGGATCCGGAACATAAAACAAGATATGTTCATAATGAAACACAAACTAAATCTGTCGATGGAGGAAAGTTGACAAACACACCAGTACAGATAAAAGTTAGAACTAATGAGACGTATCGGATAAACTCCACTGGCAGGCCTTTCATTGGTATCTCCACTCAACATCCTCCCAGCCCTGCCTCCTCGTCAACGTTGCCTTCTTCGACTTGCTCCCGTATATGGGCGATCGCAAGCCAGAGTGCTCAAAGAGCATTGTGTGTCCCGGCACCTGAACCCCCTTCACCTCAAAGCCGACAGCCAACACGGCCAATGTTCCCAAAAGCTCGGAGAAGGCAAAGTTGCGACCAGGGCACAGATGCTTGCCACCACCAAAGGGAACGAACGATTCTTTGGAGCCCTTGGTAATCTCAGGAGTTGGCCTGAGCCATCTCTCCGGGTTGAAGGTCTCTCTGTCATCACCCCAGACCTCCTTTTTGTGCATGACAGACGCGCTCCACTGAACCTCGATTCCCTTCTTCAGGAGGTACTCTCTTCCCGTCTCGTGGTCAGTCAGAGTGGTGTCCTTGTTCATGACCATTCTTGCTCCAGTGACGGTGTTCTCAAAGCGTAGGGTTTCGCGGTATGAGGCAACCAGGTAAGGGCACTTGTTTCCAAGCGCCATGACGTCGACATTGGCGACACGACGACCACCTTCTTCAGCGATGGTGATGACACCAGCAGTCTCTACCTCCTTTCGGAGACGATCCAGATACTTTGGCTCAGAGAAGATGTGGACCAAAAGCCAGAACATTGACGGCGCCGTGTTGACCGTTGATGCAACGGGAAGTGAGTCCATGGCACCGATTGTGACGTCGGGGAGGCCGAAGGATCGCCAGAAAGCTGCGCGGCCACGGATCACAGCTGAAACAGACTCCCCTTGATCGAGCTTTTGCATGTAGAAGCCAGCCAAGCCCTTGACGATAGTCATTCTGGCTTTCAACGCCTTGCCAGCAATGATCTTGGTAAGCCATCCATACTGCAGCTTTCCGAGGCCAGTCTCATATTTCCTGAAAAGAAAATATTTAGTAAACCATACAATTCTTTGAGATGACGGGGAAAATTACTTACCAGATAGAGTCAACTAGCTCAGGATTGTTGAACGGGCTGTGCTCTCCATACAAGGCCCGGGTGGTGGCGGTGCCAATGATGTCTCTCGTCCAGTGGTAAAAGTCGCTAATCTCTACGGGAGACCCAGGCTTGACAGCATTGAAACGGTCGCCGATGTAGTGCAGTGCGTTCAGGTTCATGTTCAGCAGGTTCTCTCCCGAAAGAGCCGCGATGGTGATCTTAGAAATCTCCTCGATAGCGTTCTCCCGAACAAGCCTCCTCGTAATCGTCACATCAACACCCATAGCTTGAGCAATCTCCTCAATGCGGGCACCAAACTCCAAGGTCTTGTTGCGCATAGCGCTTTGGACCAGAGGTGCCGTGTTGATCACGTACATCTTTTTGTTAAGAAGGGGAAGGGTGCAGATAGGCAGCTTTGTGTTTTTGCTGCATGATTGGCCGTTAGTACGTGTCATCGCCACCGAGACATCACAGTATTGGAGTTGTGGTTGAGGATACTTACGCCAGCTTTTCATATACTCCCGGGAACTGAGTGCGAACGCCGAGAAGATGGCCAATGATTGGCATGTTGCCCTTGAGAACAGGAGGCTCGCGAGGGTCAACGGGCGCCGAAATCAGCTTGTCGATAACAAGGAGCAATGCGAAGACAACAGCAAGTGCTGTGGCAACCAAAGAGACTGGAGAGCCTGAGGTGAGGCGCCCAAGCAGCGTCGCTGCAGCCGTCGCATCGATAGGTGCCTTGTCCGCCATGATTGCAGAGAAGAGCGGACGAGCAATAGAAGAGAACAAGTGTAGAGGGGAGGAGGATGGGAAACTGCAGGAACTATGTGATGAGTGCCATCTGTAGGCCGATTTATATCAGTCGACCCGCCCAATGGTATTGTTAACGGCATCTGTCAAGGCAGCTTGACAGCATGCTATGCAGTACAACAGTTCGGGCATTGAGTTCGGATGGTGAAACCTTCTCAGGCGTTGTGCCTCACTTCGGAGATGGGACCCTTACTGGCGGCTATTGCCAATTCATGGAATTCCATTGGGAATTACACTGAATGTCGCTAATCTGCCGCTGTTGGGCCAATTGAAGGCCCCTGTAGCGCTTGGCTAGTTGCCCAGACGTATCACTGCCACGGTTGATCTGGCCGACCGTTGCAACGCTCCGCTCTCGGTCTCGGTTTCGGGGTGTTGCGCAGTTCAATACGATCCCGATAGCCTGCTGGACTGCTCCGGTGTTATTTGATATAAGAGTCGGAGACGGAGAAAAGGAAAACGCAATGTAGTCTCAAGCGAAGCCATTACTCCATTAATTCATACCAAACCCACCCTTCATCTACACAGATTCGTTGCTCATCTCAAACATCATGGCGACCATTACTGGATTGCGTGTCATTGTCGCTGGGGCGGCCACTGGTGTTGGTGCCGGCACAGCGAAACTGCTCGCCGCCCGTGGGGCCAAGGTTGTCGTAGCCGACATTAACATTGCTGCAGCAAAGGATGTTGGTGCCGAGATCAACAATTCTGGAGGCAGTGCCACCGTCATCGAGTTCGATCTTGCGGATGAGCAGTCCATCAAGAATCTCATCGAGAAGGGCACTGAGTGGCTGGGTGGGCTTGACAGCCTGCTGAACATCGGGGCCGATCTCAGCCCCAAGACTTTGGGCAACGACCGAGCGGTGCACGACATGGACGCTGAAATCTGGCATCGGACATTCCAAGTCAACACCACGGGTTACGCCTTGACGACGAAATATGCTCTTCCTCACCTGAAGCAGGCCAGTGGCGGTACCATCATCAATATTTCCAGTGTAAGTCCAATTTTGTGTTTGTGGCATTCTAACTCACGTTGATGACTGACAAACCGTAGATGGGTGGGCACTACTTGGGTACTCCAGAGCCACTCCGAGTGGCCTACGCTGCTTCGAAAGCGGCCGTGCATGCCTTGACACGTCATACAGCCACAACATATGGCAAGGACAATGTCAGGTGCAACACTGTTGCCCTGGGGCCTATCTTGACTGAGACTCTCCAGAAGTCCATCAACGCAAGCCCTGCCATGCAAGAGGGCTTAAAGAAGGTACCGCTGCAAAGGTTGGGGAAGCTGGAGGAGGTGGCAGCTCTACTAGCATTTATGATATCCTCAGATGCGGCATATGTCACGGGTGATATCTGGTCAATCAACGGAGGAACTCATGTCATGACCTATACTTGAAATGATTGATTGAATGGAGCTTCAACGACATAATGTGTACAGAATTTCAAGCTTCTGAGAAACACGAGATGAAATGACAGAACTCATTCACGCAAGATTAATAGACGGCAGTCACTGTTGGTTATGCATTGCTACATTAAGTGCATGAAATCCGGCACCAGAAAACTGTATGCAATTGAGAGAACTGAGACTAACTTCAACCAGCAAATGATGACCAACACGATTACGGGAGATGTTTCTACTGCCACTGTGACGGTCACGATCACCGCTGGAACCAAGACTATCTACCAGAAGAAGAAGCGCAATAACCGTCCTGCATGCCCACCTGCTCTGCGTCTCTTTGCCGAGAGTCGTATCTCAAGTGCTTGCAGCTGTATCGCCCAACCTATCACTAGGACCGTCACCGCCACTGCCAAGGTGACCGCATCGGGACCTCAAGCTACATAGACTGCTCCTGGGAAAACCGTCATTGTCACCGTTACTCAGACGGTTCAGATCACCAGCCAAACACAAGTCACCCAGACGGTCGCCGGAGATGCAATTACGCAAACCGTTACCACTACGGTCACCCCCATTCTGGTCAAGCCCAAGATCTGTAATGAGAGAGGTCTCCCAGGACCAAACGCTTTCAACTATGATGCGAACTTCAATGACTGCATCGCTTCATGCAAGACGGACAATAGGTGCCTCAGCACTGGCTTCTATATCGTAACCGACCCTGGCAGTGGTACGAGACTGGAACCTGCAGGAAATACGACAAGTCTGTCACGGATTCGGCGGACCTTGGTCCTGGATATTACAACTTCAACGACAAAGCTTGTTAAACTTCTGAAAGATAGATATTGCCTATCTCAGACAGACACAAATAAGATACGAGTCCCATGTTTGACCAAATCCCGCTGGGCGAAAAAGCCGTTCAATGTCTTTTTCCATGAACCCTCTTCCGCTCAATCTTCCTGGCCTCTGCGTTCGACTTCTCTGATTTACGCTTGGCTTTATCTTTGGCTTTCCTCTCGAGAGCCTCGATTCTATTGGGCAGTGGCTGGGGCGAGGGGTTGCCTCTGGGATCCCATATTGAGTCCTTGATCCAAGGGTTGTCGACATAATAGTACCTGTTCCAGCGCCCCATGTCCAATTTCTGCAGACAGCGTCGCCAAAAACGTTTGTGATCGCGACTTGCCTCGTGCACCTTGTTTTGCTCCACGGTCAAGCCGTTGATAGCTCTCTGCTGAGCGTCACGAGCAGCCTTTTCTTGGGCGCGGCGTGTCTCCGTTTGCTTGGAAGACGGCAAGCCATAAAGCTTGATTGGAACCTCGACGTCCTCAGGAAAGCCTTCAAGAGCGATGTAAATGTCCTGCTGGTTGTTGAACTCGTCAAAGCCTTCCGGGATCCTCCAGAAATCCTGCCAGTTGACAAGATAGTTTGGGTCCGCTCCAAAAAAACGAGTCTTGACGATAGTCTCTAGATCGAGCAATATGTCGAAGAATGTCACATACCGGCTGTGACAACAGTAATCGAAACAGGAGTCTCGCGATGGTGTGATATCAAGAGATCGAGCGGTCTGGACGTAGATTGTCGACCAGTGCATACAAGATTCTTCTGTGTCCAAGCCTGCATAGCCGATGACATCCACGTCGGGGTCCCGGCAGAATGGTATGAGGCCCAGCATTTCGATCTTGAGTTTCGGATTGGAGAGCCAAGCCGCCATGTGCGACTCGTGGAACTCCTTCCCGAAGAGGAGATATGGGGGAACTTGCAATGATGACAGCGCCGACAATTTTGAAACGGAACCCCAGAATAGGGACTCCCGCCAATCTTCATCTCTTTCCAAGCCGGTCGCACCGAAGTATTTGACGTGTCCTGACGGATTCAAGGATAAGCTCGTGTTCGTAATGCTGATGTGCTTGATCCAGGTAAGTGTTTCGGGACGCAGGGCGTAGTCAGTTGCACCGATCACGTCCCATCCGGCCAAGCAGCAAAAGGTGTTGTGAGACCAGAACATTGGGGCTGCCTCTTCATGCACCCGACGATTGGCTAAAAGCAAGTTCATTCCCTCTCTTTTGGCGCAATCACAATCTGTAGTAGTGGTGACGCCTCTTTCATCGATGTTAACCGAGATCATGAGGAACGGTGGCGGCTCCGACATTCGAGGGTTGAAGGTTTTGCAGACGCAATTCAGCTTATGTCTCTTGTCCCATCGAAGGACTGGGTCAATCAGAACAAGCTTGTAAATCTGGTATCGAATGTCAATCGGGACAGTGAAGAATCCGAGTTTTCTTGGTCGAGGAACCGTCCATTCCGACACCTTCTGTCGAATTTTGAGCACGATCGGCGGCATCGTGAGAGTGGCACGCAAATAGCGGGATTAGATGGGGTGTTGAGGCTGTTCGATCGAAATGGTCAAGAAGATGTGTCGGCCAGCACGATCGCATGTAGGATTCTTAACCACGTGCGACGTTTAGACTGTGAACATTCAATAAACTTCTGGAGGATGTCACTGGCCATACAAATACCCCAAAATCAATCCGGGACAGCAATGAAGTAGTTATCTCAAAAAGAAAATAGGATGAAGGCATGGCGTTGACAATGAGCTTTGAGTCAACTAATAGAAAGGGTAGATGGTATTTCGAATGCCTTTCATTGAAAGAGTGGGAGCCTAATGTCGAGTCTCCTCGTAGACTTCAATGAAGCGCTCAGCTGGATCCTTCCAATCTTCTCTCCATCTGCTCAATGGCGGGCGCCCTTCTACTGCATCGCCTGCACTCCACAGCATTCTTGCTCGGTCTAGAGACTCGGTCACTTCATTATCCGGACAAAGAACCCAGAACTGGTCTTCTAGCATTTTCTTCTCCAAGTATTCCACCACCTGTTCCGGCCACCATGCGCCATCGGGCTTGGATAGACTCATCTGCGGGGTTCTCCCACCCATGCCGGTGTGCGTCCATCCAGGGACGAGAAGATGTACTGATACCCTTTCGGTATTTCGCAAGTCGAAACTGAGCTGCTCCGCAATGGAACTTACTGCTGCCTTGGACGCGTTGTACGCAGGGTAGCCGGGTGGATTTGTAATGCCCTGCTTCGAGCCGGTGATGACGATAGTAGATCGACTGCCAGCTTCGGCGCTCGCTTTGACGGATGGAAGGGGCGCGCCAATGCCAAAGACCACTCCAAAAACATTGGTATTGAAGGTGGTATGAAAGGAGGCTACAGAGTCAAAAGAAGACTCGGGCTTGATCCCTGCGTTCAAGACCAAAAGAGCAACACGGCCTGAAGGCTGGTCAGTAACGTCGCTGTAGAAAACCACAGAGGATACCATCACGTACCCGAATATTCGTCATCAACTATCCTTCTCAATGCTACCCAGTCATCAGACTGACTGACATCCATGTGAACTGCTTTGATGGATTGACCGTATGTTTCCATGACATACTTGACGGCGTGCTGGTCCTTGTCGCAAGCGATGACAAACATGCCTGCTTTGACACATTTTTGTGCCAGTGCCAGACCAATGCCAGAGGCTCCTCCTGTAATAATGGCGAGGCCTTTCTTCTCAAAAAGCTTCTCCATGATTGTAATCGGCAATCAAAGGTTCCTTTCAACAGATACGTCGTCAATGCCAACCTCACTTGCGCCACTCATCGTCCGGAGATTGCGCTGTTAGTCAGTGCAGTGATGGACGCCAGCAGAGAGTCTCTGATATCAATCAGAGGATGACAAATGCGCAAACATAGAGATACAAAGTTACTTTTGTTGCGCCAGTGAGATTGTGTTGAAATCCTATCTTGGTTTTGATCCGATATGAGGCCGAAAGCGGGCCAGTCATTTGCGCCGGGAAACATACCCATCAACGGAGTACGCCCGATTTCCCGGCTGATATTTCCCGACAGCTGTAATCTAGGTGCTTTCTGGGGCCCATATGCCGTCCTATCCTTTCGTTATACCAAGTCTAGTTCACTTCCGCCTCTTGCACCTCCGTAACGGTCCGTGCTGGGGTTGTTGCGATCCACGAACCCATATCTGGTTTGCGATATATGTCCATTTGGGCTCCCTTCATGTTCGCTCTGACTTTCCTTCATTTCTCTGTTGCCGGAGGCTTGAGTTGACGGGTCACCATCGATTCCATACAGAAACCAAAGGACAACTCCAACCATCAACGCGCCACCAACAATGTTACCCAAAGTGACGGGGATGACTGATTGATAGATGAACTTTCCAACGCCAAAGTTCGTCCCGTAAAACATGCCAATGGGAACAAGGAAGAAATTTGCGATCGAGTGCTGATAGCCGAGACAAACACTACACAAATCCGTCAACTCAATGTCATGCTGCGACGTCGAGGAATTGAAGAATTCGACTCACAATGCCCATATCGGTATCCAAATGCCAACGATCTTTGAGAATCCATCCCTGCAGCTTGAAGACATGAACACCGCCAGACCAACAAGCCAATTACAACCGATGCCTCTCGTAAAGTTATAGCCCCAGTTGATGTTCACTCTGCCCTCTGCCTGAGTAACAGCGTACGTGGATTGCGCATCGGACTCTAGCGCATTACTCCACCAGGAAAAAACTCCTGCGAAAAACAGACACCCTGCGAGGTTGAAGATGTAAGAGACTACCCAGTTTCTTCCAAGGTCGTACCACGACGTCTTGTGTTGCAGAGTTGTGTACATCATGACAGCCATGTTGCTGGTTACCAACTCGACATTGGTGAAAATCGTCAAAACAAAGCCGATTGGAAAGGTAAAAGCTGCCACAAGTGTCGCGAGACCCGGGTCGGAAGAACGTAGGCTGGGAGAGCCGCCTGCGACGACAAGATTGAAGAGTGATCCAAGGGAAATGAAGATGCCGCCAAAAAAGGATTTTACAATGAGGTCGCCTAGTGATAGCTTCGCTTTGGAGAGCCCGGAGCGAGTTATGATTTGACAGGAATTTTGAGCCGAGTGAGCATCGGCATTTTCGTAGAGACCCTGCATGTTAGGATTTAAAGAGGGTGGCCGTGCTCGAGCTTCCGCGTCAGGCATCGACATGTTGAACTGTTTCTTGTTCAGAGGCAGATGCACTCTTCATGAAAAATTTCGCTTGGTAAGGTTCAATCCAACTTTATAGCTACCATGGCGGCACGTTGCTCTTACGTCGATATGATGTTGCGGAGACATTAGAGTGGGTAGATGACAGTCAGCTGTCTGTAATTGCAACCTGAGTTACTGATCATGCCCGGCCGGCTTATCCGTTCGTAACTCCATCCTAGATATGACCGATTCTGAGTGCCGAGTCGAGACCTCTCGATGTAAGAGTAGAAGTTGCATGATGAGGGCGAAGCAAATAATTCGCTATCGATGAGAAAGTGCCTCATTGAGAGAGGAGGAGGAATTGTGGGTCCTGTCTCCGACCGAACGCCCGCCAACGATCGGATCGGCCTGGGTTGAGATAAGAGTGGGCCCCGGGAAATCGGAAATTGTTCTGAGAATCCCCGATGAACGGCCGGTCCGGGCCTATTTGGTGGCTGAAAAACAAATTCGGAAGTGGGGGCTGGCGTTGTGATGTCCCTCACCAGAATGTGTCGCGGTGACGTAGTGGAAAGACATTTGTCATCATCAACCTAGGTATCGAAGCCTCTGCACTACTGCGCGGGGAACTGGAATGCCGATGTCAGAAGTAGTTTAACAAACACTGAGAATACCGCGTCGTAGCAGAGTCGTCCTCGCGCTTGCAGAAACAACGCAATACCAGAGAGCATTGTCATCCTCTCTGCACGTCAGCACTTCAGCCTCCAACAAAAAGCACAATGGGTATCGAGGGAAAGAACGTTCTGGTGGTGAGTCTCAGACCACTTCTGGGACATCATGATTACTATCTAACAAGGTACTATAGACTGGGGCCTCCATGGGCATCGGTGAAGCTATTGCTACGGCTTTGGCTGCGAAGGGCGCCAACTTGGTTCTCCTGTCTAGATCTGAGGCGAGTCAATGTTCACCAGGTTGAAGCTGGCAATTGTCAATTTGCAGGCTGACCGAGACGATCCATAGCGAACATTGGCCAAGCTTGCGAACAAGCTTTCACTCACGCACGGAAACCTCAAAATCATTTACCGTGCCGCTGATGTTGGCGACTTCGACTCCGTGGATAAGGCCATCGCATCAGCAGTTGAGGCCATGGGGCAAATAGACATCCTGGTCAACAATGTAAGTAATCTGTCTCCGAGAATTTGCAAAAGCAACTTACAAAGCATGTAAACAGGCTGGCCTTGCTTTGGGGGCCCCTGCGACGTTTCCCGAGCTGAAGATTCAGGATGTCATGACCATGGCCAGCACCAACGTCAACGGCATGATGTATGTCACGCATTCAGTCCTTAACAGATCGATGATGAGGGAGAAGCCCGGCAAAGGAGTTATCCTGAACATCACGTCCGTCACTGGCTTGGAAGTTCCGCCTTTCCCAGGTGAGGCGGTTTATCATGCGAGTAAGGCTTTCCAGGAGGCATTCACGAACTCGATTCGCAACGAGCTGGTAAAGACCGACATCAAGGTTTTGGCACTTCGGCCGGGTGTTGTCACCACCAACTTCCACTCCCAACGAGTTGGTCACGACAAGGAGAAGTACGATTCTTTCATCGAGGGATATGAGTAAGCTGTTTTGTCGGATCAATGATACGCGAGGTGGCTAACAAGTTGATTCTAGTCCGCTCATATCCGACGACATCGCTCAGGCGGCTTTATATATGCTAGACCAACCGCCCAACATCTCTATCAAGGCTTTGGATGTTGTGCCAACTGGTAGGGCTTGTTAATACCCCGATCGAGGATCTCGATACTGACAAGATTCAAGCCCAGAGATCACTAAACGTGTTCGACAAAACATGGACCGACCGAAGCCACTGAACAAGCCCCTAACAGACGGGGCGCCTGTTACTTTGGAGGACGCCATGGAGTTAATCGCGACGACAATAATCTTTAGAAACAGTACCGCATATTGCCTTCGTCGCCGTCAGTGGTAGAGTTTGAACACAGTCAACAGACATTGACTTGACGAGTCCAACGTCTCTGTTATTGTTTCGGCTTCTTTTCAGGGATGAGATTTCTTTCAATGGCACCTCCACCGTCTTCCAGTCCGACCCAAATCAACTTACACGTGTCTATGATTAAAAAGGGCCTTTTCTGAGGTGAATAGCGAGATATCGTCGGATTCTCATCAAATATCGCCGTCCTGCTCAAAAGATTAGCGCCTCCTAGGCAATGTTCTGGTCCCTGGCCAGACCACAGGTAAAAGATCCGGAGAGGTTCGTGGAGTGATCCCCAAATTTCGAGCGTCAGATATAAAAGATAGGTTCGCGTAGGCGACCCAGCCACTTTTGGACAGCGTTGGCAAAACACTTTGAGGGTTTGACGCCTCTGATGTTGCCGACTTCGACATCGTGATACTAGGTGTGTTCATATTTTGCTAGCGTTTGTCGGGCCAGCCAAGTCAATGTCAATATCATCTCGAAAAGCGCCGCCGATATTATTTAAATGAGCATAATGCGGCATAGTCAAGGGTGCTCTCGTCACAATGATAATAATATTGTTGTTCGTTGCAATCTTTTTGTTTTCTCGAACACACACTTGTTCAAGCGCACATGCGTGGATTGTAGTGAGCACACCATTCCTGCTTTCAACCCAGAATAAAGCCTTTCATACACGACGCATTTCCTTTGTTTGTTCAAGGCAATGCCTACGCTCGCTACATCGGTGCCGAGCCGGCCTACTGCTGCCAAGTACACAAATAAGCCGTCGGGGTTAAGAGGTGCTCGTTTCCGCGCCAAGATCTACTTACCTGCACTGCAGCAGGATTCGTATTGGAGAACCCCTGCCGGTCAGTTGACGGAGGCAAGGAGGGTAGTGATGCAATTGCTGAGCGGTGTACATTGCATTTTAACCGCGTTAGTGCTCGGTCACTGCGAGCGCGATATGACTCATCTTCCTCTGCCTATCAGACGAACCTGTAACCGAGATTCCCTGACGTTTTGCAAAGGAAAATCATGTCATACCACATACGAAAGCTGTACTTCTCTGGAAGGTCTTCGGCGCGGATTTGTTGATTGACCCGAAGCCGAATGCGCCGCTTGATTCGTTTCGACGCTCTACCTCCACTGACATGCCAAGGTCATGAAAGCCATCTACAGATCTTGAAAGTGAACTGCTAAATCGATCTTTGGTACCTTCCGCTTCTGCACACCTTCCTTTGTCAAACATGACTGTCCCGCCTTGCTGTGTAAAAGCCTTCGAGTGGGATGGCACCCCCGTCGGCCGCATTGACAAGATCAACGACCTGCAGGTCTATGTCACCGGCAACAACCCTGATGTTGGAATCCTCTACATTCATGACCTTCTCGGATGGAGTTTCCCGAATGCCAGATTACTCGCCGACCATTTTGCCCGGGAAGCGAACGCGACTGTGTACGTACCCGACTTCTTCGGCGGAGAGGTTCTACCATTTGAACCCATTCTTCAAGGGCGATGGCACGAAATTGACCTAAAGGGCTACACCATGAGGAACTCTCGCGAGATCCGAGAGCCTGAGATCTTGGGGTTTGCTGGGACCCTGCGTCAAACGCATAAAAAGGTTGGAGCAGTGGGATATTGCTACGGGGGATGGGCTGTTTTCCGTCTGGGCGCGAAAGAACATCAACCTCCTCTGGTGGACTGCATCACGGCAGGGCATCCAAGCTTGCTTACCAAGGAGGATATCGACAACGTCGCTATTCCGGTTCAGGTTCTAGCCCCAGAGCACGACCATGTTTACAACGCGGAGCTGAAGTCTCACTTCTTTGAGACCCTTCTCAAAAAAGGCATCGCCTTTGACTACCAGCATTTCCCTGGAGTGGAGCATGCATGCTTGGTCCGCGGGGACCCGGAGAAGCCCGGTGAAAGAGATGCCATGGCAAGGGGCAAAACCTCAGCCGTCAGCTGGTTCAATCAGTTTCTTGGCTGAAATGAAGATTTCTATTCTCCACGAAGCATCTTCACCTACTTGTTGCGGACAGCAGGTCGTATCATGGCTCTTCTCTTAAGTTGGGAGTCATTTGTCGGTCAGTACAATCGTACAGGGCAAAGGCCCAGAGAAATTCAAATTGAATATTGACGTATGTATTTGTCATTTTGGAAGGATGTGACGTAAGTGAATGAGCTGTGCAGAAATCAGACGTATGATGAGACTTGAAGACACACTCTCCAATTCATGGACAAGGAGATGGGCGCCATGAAGCATCATGCCTTCCTCAGAGTATACTGTGTCCCAAGGCCGCTGGTACTACACACAGTCACCTGCCTTCTAAAGCTGAAAGACCACCCATTCGGCACCGAGCACGCATTCAACCCGTTCACTGGAGTCCACAGTGTGTACAAAGTTGCCAAAGGCCCTGTTCCGCACACGCCAAACCCGCTTCTAACTTTGGTGTGTGTGAATCCATCTGGCACCGCGCAAGCCTCTAGTCCGTTCGTCGGAGTTCGCAACATGTAGAAATTGCTGTTCTGACCTGGGTTGCATACGCTCAGGGTGCTTCTGACTCTTGAGTAAGCGAATCCGTTCGGGACTGAGCAAGCCTCAAGACCATTAATTGGCTTGCGTAAAGTGTATTGTTTGGCGAACCGGCCGACCTCGCAGACATTTAGAACGTCTCGAACAAAATTGTACGTGAAACCTTGGAAATCCCATTGTTATTTAGTTCCTCCATGGATCGATGGTACCCGACAGAAAGTTTGAGAAAAGTCCAAGGAAGATGAAAAAGGTCGGGGGATTTAAACTCACCTGGGGCAGTTTGACAAGAAGCTAGACCGTCCCGTGGAGCAACGACAAAGTATTGCATGTGGGTTCCGAAACCGCAAGTACCAAACACTGCTTGCTTCCTGGTGTAGACTGCACCTGCAGGTATGGTACAGGACCAAAATCCGTTGATAAGCGGGTCTGAAATGCATTAGACCTGCGGAAAGATGCGAAGATTCAAATTGGATCAGATAATTCTTACCGATAGCTCGTCGCGACATGCCACTATCACCGGCGACGTGATACGGGCTTGGTGGAGCGGGCGTGGAGGCAGACAAAGCTGCAAGAACCAGGAGGAGCAGGAACTTCATGTTGTTGAGGTAACGGTGTTGAACGATGGGGTGATACTCTAAATATTCGATACATCCATCTCAGGAGGGAACTCGGGGATTTATATGTCTGATCACCCTCGTTGCAAACACATTAGATCGGATCTGGGGTTGTCTGTTCTTCCACAGGCTACAGCGGCTGCTTCATGCAACACCGATGGGGCTCAAATGCTGTAGCATGTATCGAAAGCTCTTCGATGTTCCTAATGCTCCTCGCGAGGCTTGAAATTTAAAGTATTGGCCTATTCCTATTTGAGTCTATCTCCGACTACTTCTCTTTGATCTTCGACCCGTTATCGACGAATTCGGTGCATCGACAAACACGCCAGACAATGAGGCTAGCGCATGTTCACTTCAGTTGGGGCTGAGCCAAAGCTCGACACGTACAATTTTCTCTGATATGCCTAGATCTTCTAACCTAAAAGGTTGAGCGGTAGTTGCCGGAGGCTTGCCTGGATGCAGTCACCTGTCTTGGAAGGTCAAGGGCCGTCCTTTACACGTGTGGGAGTCAAGACTTGGCCCGGAAATCTCAAATGGCAACTGCAAGTGATTCAATTGGCAGGCGCTTTGCTTGACTACAGAAACATCTGTATCTTGATGGCGCAGCAATGGGAAGTACAAGAATGAGAGGAGGTCAAGAGGTGTTGTGACGAATTATTTTTGGACTTCCTGGCATCAGATATCACGTCTCTTGGATGATCTTTCTCGAAAACAGCAACGAGGGTAGAGGCTTAACACTCTAGTATCTCGCTGAGTTCCTCTGAAGTCATCGCCAGTTGATGCCAAAGCCTCTGCCTCCCACATCCAGAGGACTTCCGAACTGCCCGCCAACCATGCCGTATGCGTGCAGACTCACACTGCCGACCCAGACTTGCACCTGGCCCGACTTGTACCGCAATCGCTAGCCACTCCATAATCACAGCATCCGCCGCTGGAGCTGCACTCAAACGCATGCGTCTTTACGCGCTTGGTCTTGACAGCATAGGTACCGGCTCCAACCACACAGTTGCCGCAGTAAACCCCCTGAGTAAGTCCGGTCACACATGCGCAGCCATTGTAGGTACATGCCCGCTGAGCTAACTCAGCAGGCATCGGCTCGCGGAGCTGGATGCTGGAGCTGTTGACTGCTACAACGGCAGCGGAGATGAGCAGGATAAGAGACCCAGAACGCATTTCGACGAAGTAACTTGCGATTGGCTGCACGGTGTACCATCATTAGCCTTGCTGAAGAAAGCAGTGACTCAAGGTATATGGTTCACTTACCGCTGAACCGGGCTGAAGGGAAACCGGATTATAGAGAGAGAGTCCACGTCGGTAAGTATTTGACAATGGTCCCACGGGGCCTCGCTGATTGTGCCACAAGTCCCCCACTAGCAACTCGGAAAGAAGCGGTGGCCGAAGACTTTATACACCATAATCATCATATGATGACGGTGATTGAATCGAAATCCCAATTTGCGGTGGCCAGTCTGTCTAAACTCGTTCGACTCGATGCCCGTCTGACATCGTTGAATGCGACGTTGAAGCAAGGCACCCAATAGTTCTCTTATTGGGGAAGCTGGTTACTGCAGCTAGCCACTAGCTCATTCAGCTCTGGCTGCACTCGACAGAAGGAGCAAGCGATCAACCGTGCTTAGCCCTGTCTCGAATGAACGACAATGACAGGTTGGACCTTCTGGCGTTTGTTTCGCTGAACCATGGGTGGCGTTGGCCATCCTCAGTCATTGGATGTTGTGATAGGCCAAGGGCGACCGAACACCAACTGAAGAGGAGATGTCGGATACGAGTCGCACTCCCCGAGCTCTCGCTCTATTGGCGCAGGTGTGCCTAATGTTTGGATCCAGAGAAACTTGACGTTGACGATTGTAATCGATGTGGTGCTATCAAGACCATGGTAGTGTAATAAACGGCGATTACACCGACCACTTCACAGTATGGATGCCGATTAGCTACGGATACTCGCGTGTTGAGGTCGGACTGCTGATAATTCGACCGATCATCGCAAGAACGGCCATTGAAACCCCTCTCTCTTCCAGTGTCTGGGTCAGGCCACTGATCTGAGGCTTGAGTTGATCGGGGAACTCGAAGTCAGAATTATCGGGGAATGATATAGGTGTTTGAGGCGTGAGTAGTGTGTACGTCTCGTAGTATACCTCGGCATCTTTCCATCGATTGGCGAAGCGAGACAAGGTCGACCCACAATCTTCCAAGGCCTGTAGGGTATCGGGAGCTTGGAACGCTGTGCTGCGATAGATGTAGGGAGTTCCCCAGAAGCAAGAAATGAGAATGATTCCAACGGTGAACTGCTCAAGAAGCTGTGACACTCGAAGTCAGTGTCCTAAACATTATAATGGTTTCAGGGGGGCAACGGCAACCTACTGTGGTCCACGTACAGTACACCATAGGTCGGTGTTCCTGGATACGACGAAAGCACCTCGCATTCTCACTGGCTGCAGTCAAGAGAACAGCATGATCGTCAATGTTGGGGACGGCTAGCTCGTTCTGAAATAAACAGCAGATACAATAGTTGTAGAGCATGAGCATCGATAGCGGATGACAGTTGGTTGACTTGTCGGTATTGCTAGAGATGAGTGGAATCATTCCTTTCCATTGATCCAGTTCGGCCTTAATCTCGTGGGTGTTTTGAATTCGATAATCGCTTTGGCCGTTTAGAGTTCGCATCTGCTTCCAGAACCTCCGTATCTTCGATTGAGTTCGGCGAATTGTGAACAGATGCTCGAAGTTCGCATCGATTAGGCCGCCGTCGAAGGTAAGCCAGATGCTCTGGTTCCAAATCTTTGCACGAGTCAGTCTCACAGTCATTTGAGCAACGCAGGCAGAATCGACGCTGACCTTCTCATCTAGTACATCAACCAACTCATGCAATTGATGAGGCCACGTCGAGGCTATCACTTCGTAGACTGAGTAACAATGTATGAGCAGCCCTCTGTCCTCACAAGCCTCCGGAACAGCTAGGGTGGTCGTAGCTTCCAGACTCGTAAAAGATCCCGGTGCTTCGTAATTCGATAATCTTCGGGCGATCTCTAAAGTCGATTTTCCGGTGTTGTCTCGTAGCTGAAAGTGATTCGGGCTGTGGAGAGCATAGACTAAGAGCAAAAGGTGAGCCTTCAGTTGAGCGCTAGGCCCCTGGAGAAATGCATCTGGCAGACAATGAACCAGGGCTTGGCTGTAAAGCGACGTGGACCGCGCGATGTGTGGGCATCCTCTGGTAGAGGAGCTTGAATAGAGAGCACCTATGGCGCATACCATTTGGACGAAGTAAGACTGATAATTGTTGGAGGGCACCTTTCGTCCGACGCACTCTTAGTCTCTTGGAACCATTCAACAAGGAGGTTCTCGTCTAGAAACGACCAGTTGGGGTGAACGAGTTGGAAATAACAGGCTAGGTCGGCTCTTCTTAATAGCCCAATGTCGTCGTCAGAGGGTGGGTTGGTAAGGAATGTGTTATCGTGAGTAGCCGATGGTGTTTGGATCATGGTGATGACGCCATCTAGTGATGCTGCCAAAGAGGGCGACTTGCGCCTACGATGCTGTCAACGATATGACACCAACATTTTCCCAGGCCGTCGAACTTACTCTGCATTGATTGCTTGCATTCTCTCCATGATCTCCCAATTTGGCGATGATTGCAACGAGGAACCGACTTCTGTAGCGACTGTGCTGGGTGATCGTTTAAGGGATGGTGGATCCAGGGTAGCTTCGCTTCCAATGGTCGATTGTCCGGGAAGTGGCTGATTTGACGGATTTCCCTGCTTCCTGATCAAGACCATGCAGTTTGCGAGACTTCTCTCGACCTGGGAAAGACGCATCTCAAGTCCTTTGACGTACTCCCATGGCACCGACGCGGCATCCCTAGGCTTTCGCTCCTGGAACCGAACACATTCTGACCCTGCTCTCTTGCATTCACCACACTTGGGAAGGGCATGGTCGCACTTCTTTTTTCGATGTCGACAGCGTATACAGGCGATCGGTGGTATGTCGCTAGGGCTTGATGTTCGCTTCATCTGACGTGCCTTCGGTGTATCGGTTCGGTCGGGTCCTGGGCGGCTGCTTCTTTGTGGGTGGGTTGGAGGTCCCTCGTACGATTCCTTCGCGTCAATCTCTGAGAACATTAACGGCCCCGTTCAGTAGCCGCCTTGGTTCTTCTCTTTGGGATCTGTAGAAGCAAGAAGCGTGATGGCATGGCGAAGAAGTAAGTCTGGGAGAATAAGGCAACAGAGGCATGCACGGGTGGTCAGGGGTGATAGCCGTAGACGATGTGTTTCGTTAGAGACTTTAGGGTACAGAATTGTAGGTGGAGTCTTCCATTGTAAGATGGAGGGCGAAGGCCACCCCCCCTGGACAGGGCTGCCACGCTGGTCCGATCTCTTTGGCGCGCGCGGCCACTTAGGAGCTCTAACCCCCCGCACAATTCCAAGGCTGTTCCCCGCCCCTGGAGTACAGCAACACGAACTATACTCTGTACCATGCGATTCATATCCGGCGATAGCAGTTCCTGTGAAAAGACATGTCCTGAATTTGACGTACATCGAGTCATTGACTGTCTTTCACATAAGCTTAGCCGCTAGTCCAACCAACCGCTACCATGGATATCGACGGATGAGCTGCTCTTCCTACGCAGGAAGGCTTAGACACGGTTTCGCTCAAAGATGAGATACCGGTATTTCTTGTTGCCATCATACTGACTCCTTCGAATCTGGTCCTCTGAGCTCGGTCTATCTTCCAGTGGAACCCAAGTCCTCAAGAAGGTTATGGTTGCTGGCAAAGGCATCCATACGCCTCTCAATCAAGTTTCTGCAGGTTTTGCTGTCAAATCCTTGGGGAAATGACTCTCGGCGGATAATTTAAGAAGTCCGGTGCGTTGTTGCTGGTAGCAAAGTTTCAAGGATCGAAGGTACAGAAGCTTTTGGCAATAATTTGCCGTCTGCCGTTCTGCATCTACAGATGGTGAAAGTCGGTGTAGTTTCGCGCACCGCATCGCGCTGCATACCAACCTTCCGACTGGCTGCGTATGGGTGATACCCATTAAATCCGCGCGAGCCTTTACATGACGCAACGAGCCATGTTTATCGACAACATCGTGATGGGCCTTGAACGGGCATCTACGTAACTCCCGGTCCTCCGTAAAATCGTACAAGGTCGCGTTGTTACTGAAAGTTTACGTCAGGTTGGTATTGCCGTTGCTACAATCCCTAATTTAGTAATTTGGGACAGCTTGAACTACGTCGCTGTATCCAAGGTTGGTATCGGTTGCATATTCTTCGACATCTTCGTGGTGGGTTGCTTGTTGAACTCTGCCGGCTGGTTAAGCAGCAAAATGACCAGGCAATCTGGATAGACTTTCGCAAGGGCACCTATCTCCTTCGAATCTATACTCTTGAAAATACCGATGGGTTTTCCCCGGGTACATAGCAGCTTTCCACCCATCATATACTGTGTCCGCTTTGCCCCCCGATATCCGTCCTCAGATGCCGCCGTTCGGAGCCGAACCAAATGTGGAGCCCGGTTTTCGGTGGCAGCCCCATAGATTGCCGTCATTGGCAGATTCTGTCGGACTGAAAGCCCGCCGCAGGAACGCCCCTTTGCCAGCCCCGGGATGATCGGCCCCCTTGGCGTGACAGGATTCAAGTGAGACAAGCCTTCTTGCAGGACCTTTTGCCTAGGCAAGTTCTTGCCGTCTCCAAAGGCCCCGCCGCCAGATGGAGACATCTCCAACCACTTAGCTTCAAGCCAAACGCTTAGACCGCGTTGGTCAGCCATTTGTGAACTACGATACTGAGTAAGGCCGTAAAGCTGCCAGGGGTCCCTAAGAAACTTTACGTGACGTTACGTCGATGGCTGTAAAGAAGAACATGAGTCGGGTCCACTAGGAGGGCGGATAAATCTTTACGGCGAGCGGTTGCCTTATTCGTACGCTGGCTTCACTCACGCGCCCCTAACGATACTCGCGGATGGTTCGCGACTCTAACTCAATCGGGGTACTATAACCTACCGGTGGGATAGCAATATGTTTTGATATGCAATTGGCCCATGATGGCAGGGTTCACTTTTACGCCCTACGTACGGCTGACTGCTCATGCCCGTGAAAGCCTGAAGGTTCCTGTCTGCTATTCATTGGGGTGCTCTGTAGCGCCGCGCGGTGCACCCAAAGGAACCTTACACTGCTATTGGAATGTCAAGAACACTGAGTTCGCTACTACTGCGAGGTATCCTCGTTCTCGCCATACGGAGAAAGCCCATGCGGGCTCAACTACAGAATTACCTCCTCATCTGGAATGAACCAGTCAGATGAAATGCAGAACGAAGTCAAATCTTTCCGCCGCTCCAGACAACCGCCTGTCTTCATTGACGAACTCATCGATGCGTATGGCATCATTCTGCTGCAAGAAGCCTCAGACATTGGCCATTCAATGCTGTACGTGTAAGCGCTAAGCCGGCCCGTCGCAGGAAAGTCGCCTCTGTTCATTTTACAGTTCTTATGGGCGAAAACCCACGCCAAGCTACGCACAGACTTGGAATTTGCTTTTATTCCCAACATCAGGCGAGTTCCGTCGGCGGGCGCCGTCGCTGCAGGCAAGTGTCTCACCGCGCACATTGCGCGCATTCCATCAGGGTGCACAATAGATTTGATGGGGTGAAATTTCAAATCAGACCTTGCTCCACAGGCTCAGGAGAGCCGGCTGGAGTCGTAATTAATACTGCTCGCCTGCTTCCGATCGTCTGCCAGATGTCAACAAGGATGACGCCCATATCTTAAGGGACGGTAACCCTGCTAGAAGAACTTCAATCGAGAGTCTAAAGCCGTTAGGCTGCGCTGCTCGTGGTTGACAGCCACGAGGTTTTACGGAGAGATTCTGCATTTTCTGCCCGGGGCAAATTCCCCCATTCACTGTCCATCTGGGACTCGTTGGGTACGGACCTTCAATTGCAATACCGAGCAAGAACGAACGACCAAAGGCCTATCTTCTATGTTTATTCCATGTCAGACGCTCTCGATGATTGCTCGAAGTAGCATGAAGGACTGCTTGACCAGAGCTAGCATGCTGGTCTCTCAATCGGAGTTGGCCACAAATGGTCGTCGATCGGGAAGAGGGTACTGCCGTGAGTCAAATCGCTTACGAACAGACAATCTGGTTGTTGTGAAAGATTCTGAGCGACATCTTGAACAAGAATTGTTGCAGATGAAAGGTCTGAACGAACATTGAGTTTGCATCCCGAGTTTGGCAAATTGATGCCCTCATCAAACGTATGTGCAGGCAAGATGGTCCGTGGCACACAAGCCATCGGATTCACGGCGCATCAGACTTCCTATTCGAGAAATAAAACCGACAAACTCGCACGTGATCATCTGCGTGGCAGACAGCAAGACCATGAAGCTTTTCTTTCAATTTTTACACCTTGCTGAATCTTTCGGAAGACGATACGGATATCAATCTGATAGGCATCTTTCCGTGCTTGTCGGGTAAGTACCCGGCTCGGGATTACTAAGATAATGACTCAAGTCAATTAGTGTATCGGACGTTGTCTCCGAAGGCCGGACTAGGAGCACCATCATTGCACGGCACAAAGAGGCGTGGGTCCGATCACGGCCCTCCGAAGATCCCTGTAATTTCTCGGTTTTCGGACCGTAGTTGCGCAGGTGGTGCTCCATTCATGTTCTTCAGCGACAGTAGCGACTGATGAGACTCATCGTCCAAGAAATGCTTCATGTTATCAATCTTGACCCACCGAGTCGATAGGAATTGAGCCATTATTACCTTGGCTTCTTGTTGGATGGCGAGACTAATGATAACGGATCCCATCCCGAGATCGCAATCCTAGGTGTAGTAGATGGTTTGTACATAAGATGCGTGTGAACAAAAAGGCATCTATTCCAGGCCGTATGCCAACTTCAAGAAGCCCATTTCAACCCATATTTCCGGCCGCATTTACGACGAGTAATACGTAAAAACTATCCAATCATCATGCAAAAGATCAACCCCGTCGGTTGGGTAGGTACGAGACGCTTTCTCGCCAGGATACCTTGCTGAAACGACGACTAGTATGGCCTCGGCTCTATGGGCCTACCCATGGCCCTCAACCTGCATAAGAAGCTGCAACAACATGGGTCCAGCCTGACATTTTCGAACCGAACTTTATCCAAGGGAGATGCGTTGGTCGACGCAGGGGCCGTCGCAAAGAGCTCCATAGTGGAGGTTGCCCAAACATGCGATGACATCTTCACCATGGTAAGTCTTTGTCTGAAGTGGAGCTTTACCCTAGTCTGACCGACTGTACAGGTTTCTGCCGACGCAGTCCTTGAAGCTCTGGTGAAGGAACTCGTTAGCAGTGGCATCAGCTTGAAGGGCAAGACTTTGGTGGACTGCTCCACAATTCACCCTGACACTGCAGCAGCAGTGTCGGAGACTCTGCAAGAAGCTGGCGCTGTCTTTATTGCCGCCCCAGTCTTCGGTGCTAGTCCGGTTGCTCAAGCTGGACGATTGATCTTTGCCATGGCTGGCCCGCAAGCTACGATACAACGTCTGGAGCCTCTGGTCCTGGACGTCATGGGTAGAAAGGTGATCAACATGGGCGAGGATGTTACCAAGTCTCCGATGCTTAAAGTTACTGGGTAGGTGCCGAGTGCCCCTCCTATCATTTTCGTATGATTCGTATTGCAAATCTCTGACGCTTCTGGTAGAAACGTGCTGCTGGTTGTCTTCATGGAAGCTATTGCAGAGACTCAAGTTCTTGCCGAGCACAACGGCATCGGTACGAATGCGATGGAAGAGCTCATCTTCGAAAACTTTGGACCTGTTTTGGGAAGTTATTCGCGCCGCATGACCAGCGGCTCGTGGGCACCAAAGGAGGGCTGGGCTGGATTTGCAGTTTCAAACACCATCAAGGACGCAAAGCACGCCCTGCGTGTGGCTGGTGACCTCGGGGTGAGGATGCCGGCTCTCGATGTCGCAACTAACAACATGCTGAGTGCGAGGGCCTATGGTGGTGAGAATCTGGACGGCGC